TGTTACTGACATTGTTCACCTTCATGTAGACCACATGTGTCAGGCTCCAGTCCTCGCGGGCCAAAACATTGCAGACCTCAGCAAATTGTCTCATTAAACACACCTGATTCAGCTCATCAGCTAATTAGCGAGGCCTTCATGGACTGAATTCAGAGCGTTAGATGAAGGTAAATGCTAATCTCCTCAGCACTTTGGCCCAGAGGATCCCCAGTTTGACATGCCTGATGTTTTTATAGGCACTTGCTTGAATGAATTGAGTTTATTATAACGTAATTCTGAGCTCTGACTTCCCACTTCTGAGCTAAATTGAATGCAGCCATAGACCTTGTGCTTGTCTTTGGCTTTGCGATGCGCTGTTTGTCTGTGGTGCTCATGTCATGTTGGTTTATACCCTTAGTATTTGTCTCGTTTGCCTTTAGTCTGGCTCTTTGTGTTTGTTTTGTTCTTAGTATTATTTTCCAGTCTAAGTTTTCTCTTTTCTTTTGGAGAGATATATTGCTATTGGTAGAATTTGTATTTATTTCTTTATCTTTTTTTCATTTTTCTGATATTGTGGTTCTTAGTTCTCTTTATTATATCTTAAGGCTTATTCTTAAAAGGACTCCTGGCCAAAATGAACAATGTAACCGTCGCTACATCTTTTGTATACCTACTAACTTGTACTCTACTTTGTATCTGGAGTGAGATTTTCCAGTTTAAAGACTAAGGAAAACACCTGATGATGCATCTTAAATGTGGAAGGAAATTTTGAAAAGCTACAACTGCCTTAGGGTGGATATTTGGGGGTTGGGCTGTTTGATGGGTGGTGAATGAAAAAGAAAGGCTGCTAGCTTATGGTATGGCTAGCAAACTGAATATATTATTGCAGCCATATAACTGTGGTACCTGTTTTCGTCATCATTACAGTGGAGAGTGGATTACTCTCTCTAAACTACAGAAATGACTCATCAGACAAAGAGGACAAGCTAAAAGCCAAAGATAGCAAGCTAAGTCATATTTTTTTAAGCCCCCATGATGCCTAACTTCACCTTCTCACAGCTGAGACAAGCTGTAAATAATTGTAAAAGTCAAATTGTAAGTATATCATTACATGGCAGTATTTAATGCAGAAATATTTAGTTCGCTTCATAAGAAGGTTGCAGTTTATCTAGTGTGTACACCAGTGCATTAATGCTAGGTTAGTAGTGCACTTACTTGAGCTATTGATCTCCCATCCAATATTATGACCAGCAGTCACCACTCATTGCATTTGGTGACTTAAACCCTATGTGAGCTGGGTTGGTTTTACCAGAGGGGATCCAGTAATGTGAAGGGGCCAATTTGTAAAGAATATAACATCACATTTCCTCAAATTATCTCAGATAGCCCAGGTCAACACATCACAGCCTGGACATTCACTTCAGTGGAGAGATTATAGATTATAGATTATAGAAGGTAATTCACTGCAGAATTATTACTTTGCAGACTTGTAAAAATTACAAACATTGCAGATTCGTATTGGATTAAAATCAGGGATCACATCAGTAGTCACTTAAATTCTACTCTACTACATTCTGTTCTACTTTATTCTGTTCTAGGGTTCTTTAGGGAACCAAAAGTGGTCCTTCCATGGCATCACTCAAAGATGCCCTATGTACCCCTTTGATTCCCATTCTACAAGGCCTGTATCATGTAACTCTACTCTGTGCTCCACTCTGGCTCTTTGCTGTGTTCAGGATCACTGCTGAAACAGCACTGCTGAGTTGATGAAGGCAGTTGAGCTGTAAGAGGAACTAAATAAAGGCTTGTGTTTAATTACACTGCCTATCTCTGCACGAGCGCTTCATTCGCCCATGATGCTGTGATTACAGTTATTAGAGACGCTGGCTGTCCTCAGCGATCTCTCACTGCTCTCTGAACAGTGAAGAAATGGGTACTCACACACCAAAAGCAGAATTACAGTAATTAAAACTCAAGCTATTCATGGAGGAGTTCATTTCAGGCTTTAGATTAGTGGGAAAGCTTTATGGACAAGTTCTGCAAATGAACTTTTTCTTTAAATTCTTCCAAACTCCCCTAAAAAATTGATGAGTGTTCACCAACCCTTGTTATGGATCTACCTTCCTACGCTAACCTAACACACCTGTTCCAGCTAATTGAAGGTTCAGAAGTTCCAATGTTAATCTACTCTAAAACACCAAGGTTTTCAGAAGAACTTAATTTGCTGAATGAATAACATTTGTGGATGGCATATTTTTTCATAATATCTTCCACACCAGTGATATAATGCAGTCATTATAGACTGAGAGTGAAGATACACTGACTTGAAGCAAGGAAAGCCTCTAACTGGCATGGTTATGTTTAGCCTAGCAGCTAATTTAGATGCTAACTTCACCACCTTTTATATGCATTATTATGTGATCGTTACAAAGCATTCATAAACAGTGAACATATTGCTTTATTCAGGATGAATAAGTTGTCAGATGCTTGTGAATATTTTCATCTTTTAATTAACCCCTTAAAATCACAGGCTTATTACATACTAATTATTTAGTAACTACAGGAACGTCACAGCAAACTGGCTGAGGTATCAATGTAGCAGGAAGTGGACTAGTGGCCTGTTGATGTCTGTCTGTTATTTTATTTGCCATTTTATTTAATATAATCATCATTCCTGTTGTATGACTCTACAAATATTGTAGAAACACTCATATTTCATTGTTAAGTTTTGATTGGAGACAAAAGGGTTCAAATCTTGAATTACCAAACATAAAATTATCCAATCAGGACCCTGATTAACTCTCCCATTGGTTAGGACTTCAGTAGCTGGACAGAAGGCCTAACAGAAATTAGCATAATAGTAAAGAGGGGTTTTAACATGTATTGCTTAAAAAGGTCTGTCTTTGATAATCATTATTCGCGGTTGGTTTGGGTGGAGAAATGGGAAGAAGGTTGCTGTAATGTGTTTCAGCAGAAATGTGAAGAAGGGCTCAAACTCAAACAGGTTGAGAACCACTGTTAGATTAGCATTAGTACATGTTGGGGAAGGTATTTCTCCAGGATGCCCACTGTTTTGGAGGCCATGCAAAGATTACAGGCATTAATTGCTGGTGGACCATCTGTTATTGTGGTTGCAAGATGGTTCAGCCTGTTCATTGAGAAAATAGCAGCAGCCATTCCTCATTAATACTTTTTCAGACCTGCTGGCTATAGTGAGTCACGATTCAAGCTTTGCTCCATTTTCTTCACATGTTCCATTCATAGCCATTCTCCTCTTCTCTCTCTTCTTCATCTTCTTTTTCTTCTCTGTCTGTCTGTCTCTCTTTGTGGAACCAGATCATTCAGAGGGGAAGCTCTCCTGTCACCTTGGCAACAGATTTATTCCCACCATACTCGGTTCTGTCCTCACATAAACTCAGTCTGGATAATGTGTTGCCTGTTACGCTTTACAGGAGGGATGAATCATCGATCACCGATTGCTGGATTCTGCTATAAATAATGGTAGAATGTAGTAGAAAAAGGGTTCTGAACAGTATCCGTTACTCTAAGAAAATGAACCTACATTACAACATGGAATCAATTTTGAGTTAATATACAATTCAAAAGATATCATTTTTATCATTCTCAATAATAACTTATATAGTGTAGACCAAAATACATTGTCCAAAAGTTGTAGACATCTGCTCATCCATCATTTCTTGTAAATCAAGAGTATAAATAGGGAATTTATTCCCCTTTTTTCTGCAGTGACAGCTTCTACTTGTCTGGAAAGGCTTTTTACCCATCTTATCTTGTTGGTTTTATTTGTTGCTTTGGTTCAGATGTCCCTGTACTGCTTTGTCTTTCTTTTAATAAATAATTACAGTAAATTCTATTATAATTATGTATTTATAGTGCCTTTGTAACATTTGGAGGAGACAGAGTTGGTTTATTTAGTAAATATTAGTTGGCATTAGTTGGCATATTTAGTGATAGGTACGTTAATGACTTTTCTATGGTCACTCATAACAATAAATTAGAAGAGAACAAAACCAACATATTCACTCAGACTAGGATACATGAGACTAGGTGTGGAAAAAGTAATTAACACAAGGACTGTGTACATATGGAAAAGTGTAACTAAACACAGGTAAAACCAACACAAAATGGAACACAGATGTGAGCAAGACTACTGGGAGGAGCCAGTATGGAGGGGTGGCACAAATCTCAGATGGGGGTAGATCCAGGAATGTCACAGTGTGAGATGGGAAAATTTCTTGTCAAGTTATGTACCCTGAAATTTATTCACCACTTTCCAAATAAAAGACATTTTAATGTTAACGTTAGCATGATTTAAATCTCAAAGATATACAGCTTTCTTAGTTATTGTTGTCAGTATCCAGGGCTAAACCATTGGTGTGCCACAGGGTTCCATTTTAGGGCCACTGTTACAATGGTCATAAATGATCTCTCGTCTGTTTGTATTGGTGTGAAGATTCACATGTATGCAAATGACACAGTCCTGTATAGTCACGGGAAGAACTTTGGGTGGGCAAAAGCAGGGGGTAAGAGTTGGTTATATGTTTGGTTTAAACTCGAGATTTTATTGCATTTTGTATTTGTACTTGTTGTGTCTTTTGTACTAACCAGGTTTTTACCTGCCTGGTAACTGTAGGCTGAAGTTTTGAAATTGAACTTTTCTCATTTGAGATTAATGTTTTTGTACATGGACAAACTAAACATAACAAACTAAACAAATCATCTACAGCTCTGGGCACCACTCTGGATGTAATTTTTTTATTATCTTCCCACAAATTATTTGAAACGTGTGAAGTTGCAGTGTGCTAGCATTATTTTAGAATCACTTTGGATATACAACAACAATGGTTTTATATTACTAAAAGCAACTACAAACTAATTACAAACTTTTGAATGGTGATTCTAAATTTTTGAACAGTAGTGTATATAGAATATATATTATGTAGAAGTGTAACCATGATGATGATGATGATGTATATGTGTCTTTCTCCTTATCTGTCCAGCAGTGTGGTAAAGTTTCGGCGCACAGGCGAGAGCGCTCGTTCAGACGATGAGTGCGGCACAAGGGATCAGATGATGCAGGTGGAGGGGGGGCAAATGGACATGGGCTCTGTGGCCCTGGCTGATGGAGCTCCAGTACCCAGAGAGTTCGCCAACCCCACCGACGGTAACACCATAAATGTTTTTTACTGTTTCAGCCATAAAGAAACAACACATAAAAAAGTCCTGACAAAAACTGACTACAGTGATGACTTTACATTTTCACAGCTGGTAACACAGTGTATCAGCTATCATCTTTCATTCACAGCCAAGACTTTTAGTTTTTTTTATGTACCCCTACCTTAAAGGTAAGAAACTGTAGTTTTAATCTTTTGATGCACTGTTTGTGTTAGCCAAAGAATTGGTCTTTTCCAGAATTGGACTTTCCATTGAGCTGAAGGCCTAACCAGTGGTTGGGTTTGCCTGACAGGATCCAACCATATGCAATGAAGGAAAAAAATAAAAATTCAGTGGCCATTACAAGCTTTTAACCCTTTTATTTCCAAAACTTAAAAATGAAATAAGACTAATACTGCAGTACTTACAGAATATACCAAGCATGATGATTATATTAAACAAAAATGAACTAAAAATTACAGGCATGTATTCTTTTACTCTATAAAAATTACTAGGCCTTCTCTTGAGGCCTAGAAGACCATGAGGGTTCCCCACTGACCTTTGCCATGTTAATGCCATGTTGATTTATTCATTTGGATGTTGTTTCTGCTCAGTGTCAGATAATTCCCTGTCTGTGCTGTCGTTTGTAGATACCTTCATGGTGGAAGATGCGGTGGAGGCCATTGGCTTTGGCATGTTCCAGTGGAAACTCTCCATCCTTACAGGACTCTCCTGGGTAAGCCCATTTCATCAGGCCCCACTTCAGCTTAAGAGTCTGTTATGACCAGTGAATGGACGGCACACAGTCCTTCTCTGTGCAGATGCTAGTGTTCATGATGTTTGGGTTAAGACTAACTGCCATAGTAATGCTGATGCCTGTTGTTGGGTGTAATACAGGAATAGGCATGTTCATTGAATGCTGTTTGTGTGCAGATGGCAGATGCTATGGAGATGATGATCCTCAGTATCCTGGCCCCGCAGCTGCACTGTGAGTGGAGACTGCCCAGCTGGGAGGTGGCGCTGCTCACATCGGTACTGTTTACAAGTTTCCATTGTAATAAAAAAAAATCCTTCTTATTTCCACTAGTCCAGTGTAGGGGTGAGAAAAAATCTATACTAACATGCATCATGATTTTCTTTTGAAAGATTCTAAATCGATTCACGAAACACAGTAATTGCATTTTTTAGGCTCTGCTTCTTTTTGGCACTACTGTAAAATAAACTCATTCATAGCCAGACACATTAGAAGGTAGGATACTTTGGCATAACCTGGCTCTGAAGAGAAAAAAAAAATGCAGGATCCCACCAATGTTCAAGGTTGCAGTCACAACCTGGCCGCAGACTTTGTGTATGTAAAATGAGGCTTTGTTTAACAATCTGCACTAGAGATTAACAACAGGTAATGCAATAATATTCACAGTTATGCTTTGAGTTTAAATATTTCCTGAAGGATTAACTGTAAAGCTGCAACATACAATGTAAAAAAATGCTGTGGATGTTCAGATAAAAGGGCAGTCAGAGTGGTTTAACGTGAAATGCACCATTCCAGAGAAAGATTTCTTTACAGTGGTGATTATATGAACCAGGGCTTACAGTATCTACAACACAAATGTAGCCATTTTATTTACTATCCTAAAAGACCAGTAAACCTACATGCGTCTCCTGAGTTTTATATAATAAATTATTATTTCTTTTGGGACTATTTGCCTTACAGTGTCCTTAGGCCAAAACAATAATGACGTAAGATTGGTGGAATTCCCCTTTAAATGTTCCGCTGGTTCAGATGAGTTATAAAATGATGAAAATATAATACTTCATCATTTCCCACAGGCATCTGTAGCTACTGTACTATAATGATGGAAAACACTTTGTTTTTTTAGGTGTAAAGCACATTAACATGGCTTTGTTACTCGAGTAAAGCCCCTGTAGCATTCTTAAGTTTTCCCGCAATGGGGTTAGCATGCAGATCCCTTCTGTGTGCATTTAAAGAACAAAAGGTGAAAGAGTTTTATATAAAGGCTGTAGCCTTTTGGGGGCCCACTACTGGCTAGCTGGTCACTGTAAAATTGTGAAACTAATAACAATGATTACCACAAGATATCCAAATTGTATACATTCATAAATGGCCAATTTATATATTGCTGATGATTTGATGCTTTTTGGGGTTCTTATAATTTACACTTTAAATTTCTTGGCATTCTAGATCCAGGGATCTGTCTCAGATGCAGTATTTCCTGCATATCCAAATAACCCCAATAACTTTAAGCTTGAATCTAGCTCAGCAGTGGTAGTGTAGCTTTTTATTGTTATAAATGCTCTACATTCTACACATTTCAGTAGTATGATTTCTTTTTTCTTCTCTGGATACTCTAGTTTTGCTGGATTAATCACAGACTAAGTATTTAAGCCTGGGTTAATCACAGCCTGAGTATCTAAGTCTGGATTAATCACAGTCTGAGTATCTAAGCCTAGGTTAATCACAGCCTGAATATCTAAACCTGGATTAACCACACATCTTGGGACCCTGAATCAAAATCGAATTGAATCATACGGTACCTAGACATTCCCACTGCTACTCCAGCGGTCACTAACCCTGGTCCTGGACATCTACCTTTCTACAAAATCTAGTTCCAACCACAATCTGTCACACCTGCTCTAGCTTATTAACTTTTTCAGAGGTGCTTGACTGACTGGATCAGATGCATTAATGTTAGGTAAAGACTAGGAGCTTGTTAGATGCATGTTGGGAGATGTGTTAATGTCCACTGCCCTGTTCTGTCCTACTGTAGGGAAATCTATGATGAAACAAACAAATTAAGCTGCTGACTGTCTTTGTCTGTCTGTCTCTAGGTGGTGTTTATTGGAATGATGATCAGCTCTTCGTTATGGGGGAACATATCTGATAAGTACGGGCGGAAAACAGTAAGTATTAGTGAGGCATTCTGGATTGTAGGTGACAGACATTGTAGTATAGATTAGTACTACAGTCATATGCTTATAGTTATATGTACACCTGTGTGTGCGTGTGTGTGTGTGTGTGTGTTACAGGGTCTGAAGATGAGTGTGTTGTGGACTCTGTTCTATGGAATCCTCAGCGCATTCGCTCCTATTTATGGCTGGATTCTGTTCCTCCGAGCTTTGGTCGGCTTCGGAATTGGAGGAGCTCCACAATCGTAAGTCACTGATTGATTCATGACATTGTGATTAATCCCTTACTTTGCAAAAGAGCTTTACAACCCTTAGCACAGTAGCCATAGAATGCAATTTCCAGTTCTTTTGGAGGTCCCTCAGTTGCTCTGTGCTTTTTTTCTTCAGTAATGTTAATGCAATATGGAAAAACTGGAAACGAACTGAAGTAGCTCAACATTTATGAAAAAGTTTTTTATTGTGTTCAAATGCTATTTTTATTGTGGCAGTTGTACATGATTTTTGATATGGAGAGTCACAGAGTCACAACATTTCAGAGAGCGAAGATGTCCTAGCTAATCTGATAACATAGTTACAGGGACAAAATTAATAATTAAAAAAAAAAAGCTAATTTATTTGTTTATATTAAATTTAAATATCTTAGTCGACTGCCACTAGGGTGCCTGCAGAAAAAGGTTAAAGTGGCAGGGCTGTCAACTTATGTCTTTATTGGGACATATTATACACATGTTATGCCCTGTTTATGCTGTTGGTTTTGTGCTCCTTCATAAATTTACTAATGATTGCCAAATGAAGAATATTGGAACAGTAAATGTTGGATATAGTGCAATTTGTCATTCCTCTGTTGGATTTCGGTCAATTCAGGCCATGTTGAAAAAAGCTGACATCAGGTTGTCCCTCATACCAGTCAGAATTATTGCAGATTTCACTTAGTTAAAGTTACACTGTAAAAAAAAGGCTCATCAGATCAACCTAGAAAATTACCTCATGTAGTAACATGTATATGTATGTAGTATTTATTTAGGCAGAATAAATCTAGTTAATTACTTGTTACTACATTAAGTAATTTTTTAGGTTGATCTGACAAGACATTTTTTACAGTACAGTAAAGTTTTAAAATGTTTTTTTGTAATTTGCTACCAAAGAAGCAAAGATTCCAAAATCTAGGACAGATCCCACAATCCTTGATTGATATGTCACTTATGATAGCCACCTGTACTATAATTTAGCAAATGGTAATGGTGTTTTCTAGTTTATGTTGCTACGGTTACATCACTATGAGTCAGTATGAATTTTTCGGATGATTAAGTATTTTTTCGGTTGTTAAAAAAAACATGATTATCAGTTATATCATCCCCCAGTGTATAGGCGCAGTCCACTGCATCTTAGATCTACTTTCTATTCTATTTTTGTTTATGCTCTTTTTTTGAACTAAACATCACATATTAAATAATGTAATTCGTTTTAACAGACATTACTGCAAACGTGCATACATGAGCTTCTTCTGGTGTAGGTTCCTGTTGACTTGTGTCACCGAAACAAATGCTTTCCAGAGCCATGCTCGCATGCTTTACATCTTAAAAATGTGTTTTCCACTGCTATAGTGGAGTTCATGTAGTAGCATATTTTCACAATTTTTAGAATTTAACTCATCTGAACCACCTATACTTCACCTATGCTACATCTACAAACAGTTCTAAGATGATAAATCTCACTCTGGTAAATCCTAACAGAGACAGTGGGGAATTTACTCTACCAACGCATTATTGAAGACCCCATAATAACCCAGTGTCTTAATAGTAAAAAGGTAATAACATTATGTGAACATATTATTTAATATTAATGGTTACCTTGTTCTGATCGTGATTCCCGGCCATAGATGAGGATCACAGGAACTTCCTCTACTTCCAAACATTTCAGGGCTGGAGCTAACTTAGCTGCTCTAGGCTAATGCCGGGTCACTTTAACTTGTTTTTTTTAAGTGCAGCAAGTTACACTGAAGCAAGTTGACATTCCGCACATTGGCATTTATTTTCAGTTCCATGCACTCAAGCTAACGAAAATGAGTCTTTCCAATCACTTTCTTCTTATATTTGGAGCCATTTTTCTGCTGTGCACTCTGAGCATCATGCTGGCAGAGAACCAAGCATTATGTAATAATAATGGCACTCCTGCAGGACTATGGTGTTGTTCTTTTTTTTTTTTTCAGAGTGACACTGTATGCTGAGTTTCTCCCCATGCAATCCAGAGCCACATGCATTCTGCTGATTGAGGTATTGGCATTCTATACTTCATAAAGCACACTGTGCATTATAGCATCCCTCTGTGAGTGCTAATGGTTGTTAGATGTAGTCTTTGGAGGGGCTTTGAGGGCTTAAGCCCTGATCTTACTGGAAAATAATATTTGAGCACATACACAGTGTGAAGAAGCATTCTTTTTATCTGTTCAAAAGTTTGTAGATACCTGTGTTTCTTCAGAATTCAGGGGCATTAATAGGGAGTTTGTTCACCCATTGCTGCAGTAACAGCCTATTCTTGGAAGGCTTTACATTAGATGTTGGAACATTGATGTAAGGATTTGATTGCATTCAACTACAAGACCATTGTCAGGTGCTGATGTTTAATGATTAGCTCTGGATGACATACGCCTCTCCAGCTCATCCCAAAGGTGACTGGATTGGATGGTAATCACTCCAGAAGACACAGTTCCACTGTTCCACGGCCCAGTGTTGGTGAGCTTTACTCCTCTAGCTGACACTTGGCACCGAGCGTAGTAGGATCATGAGTGGCTGGTCCAGTGGTGATCCTTTTCTATGGAGATTACACAAGCTGAGTGTGCAATACCTGTGTCAGCAATGGGTGCACTTTAAAGTAGCTGAACGGACTAACCAGAAGGTATCTACAAATTTTCCACTTTCTTTGCCTTAGCATCTTATGCTGCATTATTGTTAGCAGTAAGCCCAAGGGCCATTAAATTCAACAATTCAACAACCTTATACTGATTCCAGAGCTTTGTACTATCCAGTTATATTTAGATATATACTATAAAAAAGTCATGCCATCCAAGAAAAGCCCCTGTTTGGATGTCTGGTTCTTACTATATTGCAGTTAATTAAAAACATAAATTTTCTTCTTCATTTGAAGCAATATTTCGATGAAAAACTTTCTTCCTACCCCAAATGCAGTTGGTCAGCCTGGAGATGTTTGGTGTCTGAAGTTTAATTTTTCACTGAAGCTACAAGGCTAATTTAGCTAAAAAAGCACTGGAAGTATATAGTTACAACTTTTGCAACACTTGCCTCAAACCAAGCAGAGTTGTTAAATGAAAACAAACAGACTTGTTTGTTTGATTTCTGACACTTGTGATGTACTATTATATTATATATACCTACTATATTAAAACAGCGAAATAGATGTTATCATTGCTATAAACAGTTGTAGTAGCCATCCTGAAGCCTGAATTTTGTCCATGATTTTGTCCATGTTTATAGATAACAGTATGTCTTACAATCTCACAAACTACATAATTAAGTCTATTTGAGATTCCTAAACAACTCAGCAACATTTGAGGCAAGTGTGTGATGATCTTGGCATGCATTTAGCATGATGCTAATTGGTAGTGTGTAAGCTTAATTACTTGTTAGCAACATTGGCCTTGTAGCTCCAGTGCAAAACAGAAGAAGCAAACTTCAAACGGCAAACATGTTTTGGCTGACTAAAACTGTGTAAATTAAATTTTTTTCTAAGCCTTTGGAGAGTCTACTTCTCTCTGTGCATCCCACATTCTTTGTTTTTACTTCTTATTCCTCTATTTCATTCTTCCTGAATGTGTAGGTGTTCTGGGCGTTGGGGACAGTGTTTGAGGTGCTGCTGGCCATCCTGGTGATGCCGACGTTGGGCTGGCGCTGGCTGCTCGCCCTCTCCACCATCCCCCTCTTCATCTTCACCATCCTCTGCTATGTATGTTCAGCTGTAGCATTGTTGGCACCCACTTTTCTATAAGCTATAATGATCATTGTTGAAAATCACAGTAATGTTTAAACAGTTGTTTCTAACATGGCCTAACAGGGTCTAACATGTCTTGGCTGATCTACCAATAGCTGATCAACCAAGACATGTACTTTGCACAGCTGAACACTGTAGCAGCAGCCATCTTCAAGCTAGTCTCGCGGGGCCAGTTATGATCTCGTAATGAAAACATCTGAAAACAATCATGAGACATTTTGGTTTAAAAGTGGGTTGGACTTATTATGGTGTAAACAGAAAAAAAATCCAATTATGCATGGAGATGTGCATCGTGTTTGTCTTTTCTTCTAAGTTACTGTCTTCAAATTGAGACCAAATTAAAGGGGAACTCTACCGGTTTTGCAAAATTACTTAATCATTCAATGGTTTAGATGTAAACAAAATCATTAAGTTGTTCAGTGTGGAATGCGCCTTTCTAGAGAAATTTACAGAGTCAGATCTGTTCACCATTATAGTACTAGGAACCAGACGTCTGAAGCATTTAATGGCTTTAAAAGCTACACCCATTAAATTATTACACAAAATGATTATAAATGCGTTGCTTGATACATAAGACATTGTTTTGTGATAGTTTTGTTGTAAAGATTTGGCCTAAAACTTATTTTTAATATAAACGTTTACTCCAGGATTACTTTTGTGTTTCCTGTCAAAACCGCATTCTCAACTGAGATCAATGCACATAAGCTAATGTGCTTTTGTCGTTACTAGCCTGTAGCTACAGCCGTTCAACACAGCTGTAGGTGTTGTATCCAATTCAGTTCCCCCTCAAATTCACGTTCCCTTTGACAAATCAGATCCTCAGGCGCATGCTTTTACTGAACAGATAATAACACCAAGCAACACTGGAACTACGGAAAGTGAAAAGGAAACATATTTTTTCGCATTTAGCAGTATTTTACCATTATCAGCGTGATTTTGTTTACATCTAAACGGTTAATTGATTAAGTAATTTAGCAAAATCAGTGGAGTTACCCTTTAATGGTGTTCCTGACATGTTTATTCTAAAGTCTGAACATTAGCTAATGGTAGTGTTTCAGTGTCTAGCTTGTTTTGCTAGTGTTGTCAAGATCAAGAATATCTTGAAGCCTAAATTTGGTTGTATTTTGTCCATTTTTATAGATGTAACAGTATGGCTTAGTAGTATGTTTTGAAGTATGTGATGATTGATGCAGGCAGGGCACACTGCTAGTTAGTAGCTTCTGATCTTTCATTACCTGTTAGCTATGTTAGCCTTGTAAAATTAAAAAAGCAAACTTCAGACACCAAACCTGTCTTGGCTGATCAGCTATATTTGGGCTAAGAGGGAAATTATATGAATTGGAAATTTTACTAAACTGTTCCTTTAAGGTGTAAATTCCTATTATTCATATAGCTAAATGTAGATTGACAGTGAGAAGATGTTTGTAAATGTGCTCACTGTATGTGTCTGTAATATGCAGTGGCTGCCTGAGAGTGCTCGTTATGATGTTCTGTCGGGGAACCAGGAGAAGGCTCTGAACACACTCAAACGTATCGCGACAGAGAACAGGGTCCCCATGCCTCTGGGCAAACTCATAGTGGCCAGACAGGTAACATCTATACTGTCTATTCTGTTATGTTCTGTTTGAGAGTGTTCCCTGTCATTTTACAAGACTATACTATCCTTATTCATGCAAAACTGTGCAGAACCACGACAACATTTGTGTATAAATATCAGTTAATGCTCGTAGTTAGATGTTTCTAAGCATTGGATGGATTTAAGCAATTACATCCATGTGATGTGATGTGATGTTCCATCGGTCTAACTGTCAATTACTTGTTACGTTGTTTACAATAGACCTCTGAAGTTGTGCACAGTCTTAAAACTAAACCATGATTCAAACCACTGCACCTGAAAAAATCACCTATAAAAATTGATTGTAAATATAATAAAGGCAAATTGTGGAAGAAAATATATATAGAAATAGAAATTCATATATACAATAAATGTATTATAGCTTTAATTATTATTATTATTATTATTATTATTATTAAAAATAATAATAATAATGATAATGATGATAATAATAATAATAATAATAATAATAATAATATTATATGTAATATTTAACAAAGTATGTATTTAAAATGTAACAAAATCTAAAAATGAATATATAGTTTTAAAGTATATTATTATTATAATTATTAGGATTATTATTAGTAATAGTGGTATTAAATTTGATTAATGCCATTACATGGACTATGAGATACAAAATAATATATCATTTTGAATTAGAATAAAATAACATAATTTTTGGATAGATTGTGTTAGTTGTTAATCTGCAAGCGAGTTAATGTGGTACTTTAGCTAACAATGTTTATTTAATGAACATTCCTGAGATCAAGTTAATAAAGTACTTAGCATTATGAAGCTTTTACAAAACACAGCCCTGCACAGTAAAATCATTTTACACAGTAACTTCTCATCACTCCACTGTTCCTCACACATCAGAATAATGTTTGAAAGTGTTTGTTCTACATCTTCACAATGTTATGTGTGTGTCTCTTTGTCAGGAGGATCGAGGAAAAATTAAAGATCTGTTCTTGCCGCACTTCCGCTGGACCACCGTTCTCCTCTGGTTCATATGGTGAGATGCAGTCAATGTAATGAATCATATTGTATACACTGACCACCTACTTCATTAAATACACCTCCTTGTACCTACACTCATTGTCCATTTTGTCAACTCCATGTACGATATTGGTGCACTCACTGTCCACTCTATTAGACAGTCCTACCTTGTTGGTCCACCTTGTAGCTCATTTGTTGCTGCACAGTTTGTGTTGGTCATCCTATAGTTCTTCATTGGTGGTCACAGGCTGCTGCCTGCAGGACGGATGGTTGGATATTTCTGGTTGGTGGGCTATTTTCAGTCCAGCGGTGACACTGAGTGTCTGATCCACTCGTACCAGCGCAACACACACTAACACACCACCACGAGATCAGTGTGACTGCAGTGCTGAGAATGATCCACCACCCTAATAATACCTGCTCTATATGGTAAGTGGAGTTGATAAAATGGACAATGAGTGTAGATACACTGAGGTGTACTTAATGTAGCGGCCAGTGAGTGTATATAGATCATTCTACCGAATTGGTTCAGGATCAGAGTTGAAAACACTGACTTTGCTTTTAACTGACTTGGACAAAAATCCTTTTTCTCTATAGTGCCACATACCTTAATTATATTTATTTTATTAAAAGAAAAGAAAAGATTCTTTTCATTTTGTCATTACCAATACAATAATAATGTCTCCTAAACATTGTCAAATATTGCGGTAGTGACTGTTTCAGTGGTGGCATTAATTTTAGCTACTATTTTCAGCGGAACTCAAAAACGCTAGCCAGTACATGAATAGCAAACACAACGTTGAACAGCTGTGCACACCTAAAACATAGTATTTTTTATTAAAACACACAAAATTTTACTAAGATATGTCTTAGTATTTCACACTGATTTTCGGACTTTGGGACACATTTACTTTAAAACAATGGGATCTAACTGCACACCATGTGGTCATAAGGGACAGGGATGCAGTCTCACTTCCTGCTCTCAAATGCAGGGGTGTGGCTGTAATGAGCTATGGACTAAATATTTTGGTAGTGGCATAAAAATGTGGGACAGCACTTTTTGAAAAAAGTTTTTTATTGAAAAATTTAACTCATGATAAATGTAAACCTTCCCATGAAGATCTTTAAAAAGAAAAAAAAAATTGGAAAAAAAGACTAATAATGTAAGTGTTATTTTCATAAGTAGAAATTTAGGGGTTAGGATTTGGGACAGATACCTCCTAATAGAAAGGCCCGTTAAATAATGATTTTATATACATTTAGTTTATTACTATCTCAATTAATGCCTTGGTTTTAAATAGATCATAACATAATCCTTGTAAATATCTAAGGTCTAAATGCTTAATTGTTATTTTATGTATTGTCTTTTACTGTGGGACTGCATTTTGAACTAATTTGGAAGAATGGCACACATATATTCCTCATTAAACCTAAAGGTGTTCTACAGCAAATGCTTTCAGTCACACTTCCAACAGACTTCTGCATTGCGGGTGGGTAATAAGACGATTTGTTGATACTGCACATTAGCTGATTATTCAAGCTGAAGCCTCAAATTTAGGTGTCATAACATTCTAAAAGATGAAGGATTCATTCAAACATTGCTAAAGGGTCTAACTACCAAAAATTACCAGACAATAAAGTAAAGAATAAATAATATTCTATGATCAAGCTATAATTGCCATTAAATGCGAACTAGTTGATCGAGCTTGGCACTAACAACACTACAAATTCCTACAGGTGTGCTAACAGAAATTGGCGTTCTGCTTACTGCAAATCAGACAATAAAAAAAAGAATAAAGATTTTGTTACTTGTACGCCTATTACAAGTTTCACACTCCCTTGTTTAAGCTAGAATTGGCAAATATGATTAAACAACACGACTAGCTCTATGTTAACAACACTACAAATTCCCAGTGTGCTAGCAGAAATTAGCATTGTGCTAGCAGCTAACAGGACAATAAAGTAAAGAATAAACAATATGTTACTTGTATGCCTGCTTCACATGCCTGTGTTTAAGCTAGAATTGGCATCAAATATGATTACAAACACGATATCCTGGTGCTAGCAATTCCCATAGGGACACTAGCATAATTTAGCATTAGTTGGGCAGTAAAAGTGAATTACAAGGTTTTCAAAAATTCAAAACAATGTCATGCATCAGTCATATCTTTGGGACTGGTGCATCTTTAATGAGTATGTTGTGGGTGTCGTCTGTGGTTGGGTACCTTCCTGTTATGGAGAACAGCTTTTTAGAACTGATGTTCTGTCCTGTTTAAGGTTCTCCAACGCATTCTCCTACTACGGCCTTGTACTGCTCACCACAGAGCTTTTTCAGGAGGGCAGGGCCTGTGGAGGTAGGTCACAATTTTCTCTAAACAATAGTTGGTGTTGATACATAGCCTGTTGTTTATGCAAGATAAGATTTCTTTTTATGAATTCAGAAGCACAGTTAGAGGCAATACAGATAAAGCAAGATCAATATGAGCTAAAAAAGGCCTTTTGTCTCCCCCTAGAGGCCAGTGACAGTAAGACAGAGCCAAGATGTAATCTGGAGTGCAAGTACCTGAACTCGGATGATTACAAAGACCTGCTGTGGACTACGCTGTCTGAATTCCCAGGTGTTTTCAGCTTCCAGGCTGACCCAATGACCATGCTAAATAATTATAAATAAAAATAATCATATACTATTACCTTCTTTAATGCATTTTAAACTGTGCAGTGGTGGAATAATTAAAATCTTAAACATTTTCAGTATATGTTAAAAGGGAACTCCACAGTTTAAAATGTGTGCAAAATTCAATTGTTAAGATGTAAACAAATTCATTCAGAATTCAGAACTTACTGAGTCAGAACCATTAACAGTGGTGGTGATAGGAACCAGACGTCTGAAGACTTTAATGCCTCCAAAAGCTACATTATTACACAAGATTTTTTGGTTGTGAATACACTGCCTGATGCCTGAGACATTGTCAATAGTTTTATGAGATGGCTTTAGCCTAAAACATGCCTTTTTTTCTATCCATTCATGGTGGAGAGGTACATGCCGGGTGTTCTGAGGCAAAATAGTGTCCAAAAAAACTTTTTTTTTCATCAATACATATATAAACTCTGAGGACACATGTAGGTTTGCAGGTGGTTTTGGATAATAAATAAAATGGTTGTAGTTTGTGTTGTAGACAGTGTGACCGCTGGTTCCTATCACCACTACTATAAGAAAATCTGAGTTTCACACCAATCCACTGAATAATCTTACAGCCTAACAATAAAATTCTGAAGAAATGCTGAAAAATCTGTGGAATTTCCTGAACATCTGAACAATTTCACAATAATACTGAAAATGGCAGTATTTTGGTCAGTGGTATGATGATCCAGTGGACGAGTTTCATTTATCAGTGCGCTGCTGCAGGTCTTCTGGTGACGCTGTGGGCGATTGACAAGCTGGGCAGGAGGAAGACGATGGCTCTGTGCTTCCTCGTCTTCTCACTGTGCATCGTGCCGCTCTATGCCTGCGTGGGCAGGTACATACTGTGCATTCATTCAACACTGACTAAAGCTTTCTCTCTCTCTCTGTCTCTCTCTCTCTCCTCCCTCCCCCCTCATTCAGTCCTTATGCTTGGACTGGCAGGGACAGTAGTGTTTGTAATGTCTGATTAAGAGGTTCAAAGCTGTTGGCTTCAAACCTAAACACAAATGCCAGCTATGAATTGTTTGAATTATGATGGCAGCTGAAGCTTAAAGAAATCAGGAAAGTTAAACTGGACGTAATTATACTGCCTGTCTAATAGTTGGGGCTACCTTGCCTTCTGTACTGTTTGATTTCCTCAGTTACTTTTTAATCTAATTAGTAAGAAAATAAATTAAAGGGGAACGCCACCAATTTTCCAAAATTTCCACATAATTCAGTCACTGAGATATTAAGTCAATCAGAATGGTTTTATGTAAAATAGAAATTGTAGAGAAACTTATGACTTGGATTTCTTTACAGTGCCTTTTTCCTCACAACACCCTGCATGTACCTCTCAGCCAAGAGCAGGTTTAAAACAAGCACATGAGAAAAATAAAAAACCTTAATGTCAAAACTGGTGCAACACAGTGTCTCAGGTAACAGTCACTGTATTCATAACCACTTCCTGTAGTAACATTCTGTGAAGGAGTTTTCAGAGGCATTAAACTCTTCAGATGTCTGGTTCCTGTCACCACCACTGTGAACAATTCAGACTCTGTAAATTTCTCAAGAACAGAGTATTTCACACCAAAACACAGTGAATGACTTTATTTGCATCTTATCCATTTAATTATACAGAAATTTTTAAAAATTGATGGAATTCCTCTTTTAAAAAATCTTCTAGGTGTACTATAGCAATATAAACAGGTTTACAAAACTCTATATATTGTAGTATCAGATTAACAGGAGCTATTTCCATGTTGGTTGTACATGTTGCTTATATGTCCACTCACTGGTCACTTTATTGGAAACACCTACCTTGAACTTTCACTCAGTGGCCACTTTATTGGAAACACCTACCCTGTACTCACACTCAGTGGACACTTTAGGAGCTCCACTTACCTTATAGGTCCACTGTATAGGTGTACAACAGCAATCCAACTGACATTCGCAATTTATCAACCCTCTTTACTGGATTTATCATTGGTCAGTTCTTGACCACAGGACCGCTGTTGTTCAGATATTATTTGGGTGGATCATTCTCAGCACATCAGTGGCACTAAAATGGTAGTGTCAGTGGTGCTGGTATGAGTGTGTCAGACACCACAGTGTTGTTGGTGTCAGTGTCACGCCCAAAAATATCAGAACAAGAGCAGCTCTGTGGTCAGAAACTTTCAACACAAAACGTCCGTCTACAGAGGGGCTACAGTCTCAAACTGTGTGGAAAGGTTTCTAACAAAGTGGCCAGTGAGTGTATATTCTGCTACGTTTACTATGTAATGAAGTGGCCTGTAATGAACTGACCCATAGAATGGACCGTGTTGCAAACAACAAACTGTAAGCCAGAAGACACACACTAGCCTTCTGTTCAAACTGGCAGTAAGAAGTGGATCCCACATTCATTTGGCTTCAGGGCAATAGCATCACCACTGCTGAGCTGTTGGCAGTTGGCACCGAACAAAAATTTTAAATGAAGCTGCCAACTTGCTGAACGATTTGATGTGCGGATATATTTAGGCTTGTGGGTTTATATGCTAATTATGAATATAACTAACAATGTTTAGACAATGTGTCTTCATTTTATTTTAATAAACAGTAAAGTTAATTTAATGAATTCACTGGCAAAAAAAGTGTTGCAGTGTTTTTACTTGATTCAAATGGGTACATCATTTCCAAATTAATGCATCGTACTACCACAGACAGGTGACAATTTAAAGGAAAAAAAAAAAATTATTATTGAGGTGTTGGGCCACCATGAGCAGCCAGAACTACTTCAGTGCACCTGATCATAGATGGTAGCAGTCTCTTTGATGGAACACCATTCTTCCAAATGATATTCCCTCAGTTGGTGTTTTGATGAGAGCGCTGTCTAAAGGTCGTTACACACTCAATGTGATGCAGAAAAACAACACGATCAACAATTTTTTTTTGCATCAAATCTATACACACTGGGTGCGACACTTCTTTTCAGAATTTCGCCAAATTGTTCAGGCTGCAAAAAAAGAGAGAAAAGGGCAAACTGTGACACTGTGCTTTCCATTTTATAAAAGCAAAAGAAGAACAGACAGATTCTCTACCTTTTCAGGTGCCTGCAATCTACAAACTCTTTCACTAGTAGCTCAGATCCCCTTAACTCTCCTTAATCAGTGTGAGCTGATTTTGGAGATGCAGCTCCACATGAGACGAAGCACAAAACAAACAAACACAAACAAACGTGTTCAAGTGGACACTGGGCTAATCTCCATTTTGAAAAAGTGATATGAGTACGGAGAGCTTCATCACTTCATTCAGAGGCTGAAACACTGAGTTCTTCCACATTAAGATGTTTGTAGCCCAGTTTAAGCCCAATTTGAGCTGCTTTCAGAGATTCTGATTCTTTTAGCATTCTTGAAAAAGGTCTATTTGTTGGAACACAGCTGCTCTGTCATCTTGGGTGTCACCATGCCCACAGCAGAGACAACAGTGATTGGTCAGAGAATTCATATCACCAGATAGCAAATAAAGTAATATCCCATTTTCACCATATGAAAAATCACATTTGGTGTGCAAGATATCATCAGTTACACACATAATCCAATTAATTTAGTTTCGTCCGAATAAATTGCTCTCAGTGTGTAAAAGCCTTAACACAGTCCAAAATCTCCCACTGGTCTTCATCTGGGATGAGATCTGCAGATTGATAGCCACAGCTTTTGATTTACATGATTTTCATGGTCATCAAACCATTCAGTGGCCCCTCCTGCACTGTGGATGGCGACACTGTCATCCTAGAAGAGACCACTCCCATCAGGATAGAAATGACAATATAAAGATGATGTGTCAGAAAAACTTGTATTGTCCGGTAGTGACCCATCCCTCTAAGGGGACAAGTGGCCCCAAGCTATGTCAACAAAAGCCCCCGCACAGCATAACAAAGCCACCGGACCCCCTCACTGCAGGGGTCAAACATTCAGGCCTGTATGGATCTCTCTGTCTACGCTGCACATGCACTCACCCACCCGTGGAGAGTATGATGAAGGATGACTCATCTGACCAAATCCCTGTTTTTCGCATCTGGACATTTGTCTTTGTAATGAGGCACTGCAGCTCTACTGTAATATCCTGTCTATGTAGGGCTGCTCTTACATATCACACTAATGTAGGAGCATCACAGTCACTGAATGTGCTTTTTCAATCACTGTTTCCAGCCTGTCTGGAAGCATCTGCACTTGTTAGGTTTCTCCACTCATTTATTCAACTTTTCCTTTTATTTGTCACCTATACTATACATGTGGAAAAGATGTGTATATTTGAATTGAGGAAACTGTATACATTACTTCTTTCAGCATTAAAAAAGGGACGAGACTGTATCCTGACTGCAGGTCTGTTTGTTTGTTGTAGGACTTCTCTAACGGTCTTGATCTTCATTGCGAGGGCATTTATCGCCGGAGGCTTCCAGGCAGCTTATGTTTATACACCTGAGGTATGTTCACACCCTGCAGCCTTATTGATACCAAACATAGGGTATTCTAGTTATACTACTGTACAAAGGTCAGAGGTCGCTCTTCATTTATTTAACATTCAGTCAACACAGCCAATACCACTTTACAAGAAAACTACTCTCATATTATTAATTAGGTCATAAACCCCTTAAACCATTAGTAAACAGACCACATAAATAAAAAAGGCAACAGTGACCTGTTGCTTGCCAAATAGTGAGCCCACATTCATCTGTAATGTTAAACCTCATCTGTTATGCTGTTTACTTACACATGAACACCCCCTAGTCAAATTACATACATGTTTTGTTGATTTATTTCATTTATTTGCTGAGTTTAACATTTTGGAAAAAAATATGTGAAATATTTTGTTTAATTATATTAAATTCAGCGAATAAACATGCAACTGTGTGTTCTCTGTAGAGAATGTGTTAACTTACCATCACTTAGAAAATCAACAAAACATGTCACTTGATCAGGGCTGCTCAAACGTTTGGATACAACTATATCTTGCTTTGCCTTTGTAACGACCTCATGGGTCTAGGAGATTTAAAAAGAGGTTGTACATAAAAAGGCCAGTGCCAGCCGTCTCCCACTCCCTGCAGCAGTACTGCTCCCAGTCCTACCCCTGAAGCGTCAGTCTGCACTGTGAAAGGTAAGTCGAAACTGGGACTCTGCAACGCTGGCTCATTACACAAACAAGCCTTCAAGTCTTGGAAGGCGACTTCACAGGCTTGGGTCCATTTCAGTCTCTGTGGACTATCCTTTCTTGTGAGGTCTGTGAGAACAGCGGCTCGGCCAGAGAAGTTCGGGATGAACCTCCTGTACCACCCGATGAGTCCCAGAAATGACCTCAATCTCTTTTTCGTTGTTGGAGCTGGACAGGCCTTGATGGTTTCCACCTTGTCAACCTGCGGCCGAATGTTCCCTCCTCCAAGGACATATCCTAGGTAGGACACTTCAGTCTTCGCCATGTGACACTTTTTGGCATTCACCACCAGTCCAGCTTTACGGATCCTATGGAGTACCTCTCTCAGGTGTTCCATATGCTCCTCCCATGTATTGCTGTATATGACTACATAATCAATATAGGCAGCTATGTAGCCCTCCATACCGCGTAGTTCTTGATCCATTAGCCGTTGAAACGTCGCCCATGGAGTCCGAACGGCATCACAGTAAAACGATATAGCCCTGAGCGGACTCTAAAACATTGTCAGGTGTTTACAAGAGTCTGCTAGTGGTGCCTGCCAGTACCCTTTGCAAAGGTCTAATGTGCTGAGGTATGCTGCTTTGCCCAGTTTCTCTATCAGCTCATCTACCCTTGGCATGGGATATGGGTCAAAGGCAGAGACTGTGTTGAGCTTAGAGAAATCCACGCAGAACCTTAAGCCTCCATCCTTTTTTGGTACCAGGACCACTGGACTAAACTATTCGCTCATTGAAGGTTCTATGATGCCTTTTTTCTCCAGCATAATCTCCACTTCTTTTCTTAGCTCAGGGATGAGACGTGCCGGGAACCTACAAAACGTCTGCCTGATGGGCTCAGGTGACTGTAGTCGGATGTCATGTTTGATGATGTCTGTTCTACCTGGCTTTTCACTGCCAAGTCCTTTGGGCATTTGTTCCAAAGGTTCTTGTTGCTGTGCTCTTGATATGTGTTGCAGGTCAGGCATAACGGCTTCGTCCTGTGACACTGGAAAGTACTGTTCCACCAGCTCCTCCTCATCCTCAATTGTGCACGCCCAGAGCTGGTCACTTGCTGTCCCTTGTCTCTCTTGCCAAGGTCTCAATAGGTTGATGTGGAAAGACCTGTGTTTTCTTCCTTCTGTCTGGTAAGTGAAGCTCATAAGTGACTGGTCCTGCCTTCTTCACTACTTCATATGGTCCTTGCCACTTGGCCAGTAGTCCACTTTCAGATGTTGGCAGTAGGATGAGAACCTTTTGTCCTGGGCTAAGGTTTCTTTTCCGAGAAGACTTGTTGTACCACGTTTTCTGGTTCCTTTGGGCCTTCTCCATGTTCACCTTAACCAGGTTCCTCAGTGAGTCCATTTTCTGTCTCATTTTTATGACGTATGAGAGGATGTTCATGTGTTCTTCTGGTCTCTCACCCTCCCAGGCTTCCTTCAGTACATCAAGTGGTCCTCAAACTTGATGACCGTACAAAAGTTCAAAGGGTGAGTACCCTGTAGAGGCTTGTGGCACCTCACAGTAGGCGAAAAGCAAGTAGGAAAGCCACTGGTCCCGGTCAGAGCCTGTATCTGACACAAATTTCCTGAGCATGGCTTTCAACGTCTGATTGAATCGCTCTACCATACCGTCTGACTGTGGGTGGTATGGAGTGGTCCGTATGCCCCTTATCCCTAGAAGACTAAAAACTTCTTTGGTCTGCCTAGATGTAAGATTTGTCCCTTGGTCTGTCAAGACCTCCCTGGGTATTCCTACCCTCGAGAATAGCTGTATGAGTGCATTCACTATCTGCCTTGTTTTGATTTTTCGTAAAGGGAATGCCTCAGGATACCTAGTAGCATAATCACTGATGACTAGGATGTAACGGATGCCCGTTCTGCTCCTTTCTAATAGACCTACTATGTCCATAGCTATCCTCGTAAAAGGTACTTCTATGATGGGAAGGCTAACCAAAGGTGCTCTGTCTCCTTTTTTTACAAGTGCTGTCATTTGGCATTCTGGACACGACTTACAGTATTCAATTATATCGAGATACTGCCTCAGCCAATAAAATCTGCTGGCTACCCTTGCAAGAGTTTCCTGCTGACCTTCATGCCCTGCCCATGGGGTGGTGTGTCCCAATTGTAGTACTGTAGGTCTTAAAGTTTTTGGTACTACTAGCTGTTCACGGTTATTAGAGCATCTATACAGTTTACCATCTCTTACAAAGAAATATTCTTTGTCAGTAGCTTTACTTGTTTTAGGTTCTTTGTGGGCTTAAAAAAGTGGTTGAAGTGTCTTATCTTGTCTTTGTAATTCTGTTATGTTGCTAGGAATTGGGTCTGGAAAAGTGCTGTCTGGTTTTTGGAGCTGTTCTTTAATTACAGTGCCCTTCACTTTTTCCTGTCTCCTTAACCTTCTGGATTTCTTCTCTTTTGGGGCTTGAGCAAAAGGAAGTGTGTCTAGTGGGTTATCAGACTGTTCCTTTCTCAACAACCTAGTTGTTGCCATAACACTCCTGACTTCTCCCTGTCTTTGGAGCAAATCTACTAGCACAGGTACATCTCTGCCTAAAATAACAGGGTATGGGGCTTCAGGCATTACTCCTACAGCTAGAAGTTAAGGCTGACCCTCAGTCTCAATTTGCAAGTCTACTGTAGGGTAGTGGGGGTTGACTCAGCCTCGCTTACACGTGGCTGTGTATCTTCTGCTGCCCTTATCCGATGGAGGATGTGTGCTCCCGTCGCTGTGGCTGGGGCTGTTTCAGTTGCACCTCTCAGCAACTGCCTCTCTCGCCGCTCCTGCTGAACTCCTTGCTGTAGTTGCCCGAACTGGTGCCGGTGCTCTTGCTGCTGAAATTCACGCTCAAACCGCTCCTGGCTAGCTTGTTGTGCTCCAATGAAGTTGTGTAGCAGGTTGGTGATGTGAGCTGTATTCTCCATCACATCTGTTACTGGTGTTGTTGTAGTGTCAGTTGGGTTCTCTTCTTGCTGTTCCTCTCTTTGTCTTTCTGTTGTAGTTGGAGATTGTTTTCTCGGAGGCATTGTGGCGTCTGGTTGGTTGTAAATCCTTTGTCTTTAAGGCTCCCTACTGGACTGGATGTAAGTACCGCTGCCACCATTTGTGGTACTTTTTGTGTGTGGTCATAGCGCCCAAGGGGAGGTGCTAGGGAAGCCAGGACACTAGGAGTTCCAGTTTAACAGCCACACCTTTTATTAGTTCTCTGAACCCACCAAATAAGTGCACTAGTTACAAGTGATGAGAGTAAAACGCAAAAAAAACAAAAACAAACAAAAACTGCAATAACTTCTGGCTTTAGTCTATAGATTCTGTCCTCTCACAACTTCTGCTGTTTGCCTGCAGGACACTTAAGGAAGACTTGGTCCGCTCAGTCCATCTCTTTCCAGCTTCGAGCAAGTCCCCCCTTCTTTCTGAGTTAAGCTCTATCGCTTTTATGCATTCCTCTTCCCACCAAACGTGATCGGACTGTACCACCCAGCGGTGATAATCTCCTTGCTCGATTAGCAGTTCGTATTGAGAGCTGCGGAAAACCAAACCGCTCCCCCTGGCGGAAAACGGATGGTTTCTACTCCCCCCACATAGGACGGTGTTCAGCGTGCGCGTGCCCTTTTGAATTTCTTCCCCCGGGGTCAGAAGGTAAGTATACGGTTTCTTTATCGTCCTCTTTTATGTTTTCTTTAGGTTTCTTTGTGTACCGAGTTAGATGTTTGAGTTTTGTCATTTCACTTGTTTTAAAAGTGAAAGTTTATGCCGTCCGCTCCGATATGTACACTCTCTTCACGGAGACATTTAAACGAATAATCGCGTCCTTATACATCGTCATCTCAAAGTCCGTTGTCAGTTCTCTTTTCCTGTGAGGAGGTGTAGCCTCGCAGAACTTGTCTGGTGATGGTGACTTGGTCATGAGAGCAGTCTGACTTTAATTACTGTAGACTCTATTCTTTTACTGTCCGTGCATACATTTATAGCATGACCAAAGTATAGTTAATATTTCAATAAAGGTACTTCATCAGGTAAAAAACTTCATTAGTTGTACTTACATTGTATCTTCTCACTTTATAACATATGGCTACTTGGCTGTTTTCTTTCTAAATGGCATATTCACAATGAGCCGTTTAGATTTGGGGACCCTAGATTTTTTTAAAAAATGTTTTTTAACATGTTATTCTTTGTCAGGTGCAGCAGGTGTGGCTGCTAAGGGATGCATTTTTTATGAATGTATGGATACTGTTTGTAGTTATTATCACAGATATTTACATGCGATATTGTTTTCCTTAAAATAAATCTGGTTAATCTTTCAGTTTTTAATAGGTTATTGCAAACGGACAATGAAAGCACACTCATTTCTTTAAAACGTTTTGAAATGCTAGGTGTCCCCAGATATTTGACAGGCAGTGAATATTTCCCCCTATCTGTCTTTTTACTGACATGCAGAACTGAGTTCTTGCATGATAGTCATTCACTGAGATAGGATATCAATGTACTGTACATGTAAATCATGAAGCAAAGTAAGTGTCCTGGTTACCAGTTCACCAGCCACAATAACAGTGTGGTGTAATAACACACATCACCTTTGTTTTCATCTAGTTTAACAGGCTTGTCCAATATGACAGTTTCATACATGCTTTTTGTCTTTGCTATTTTGAGCCTGTATCTATAACTGATTAAGTAATTAATTAAAAACACTGACCCTTACCTTTAGGTAATAAAATATCCCACTTTCCATTTTAGAATTTGTTACAGCAACCATACAGCATGTTACAGCATCCTACTGGTGTGGGTTCACGCTTGGGAAGGGGTCCTGGTAGGAATTTTGGCCCGCCTGAAAACTTTATGCATGGACCCTTGCCTCACTTCACTTCCCTTAGCAGAACCAATCACAACATGACTGCATATGAATGCCCTAAATGGCTAGAATTTTGAAATGCTACTCAAAAGCATTGCTGTCAAAGCAATGAACAAATTGTTTTTGACTGTATAGGACAGATACATTATACAGAGTCAATCAAATCTCCATAAATATACTCCTTTATCCAGCTATAGATCATGATATTCAGTCGAGGAATAATAGCGATGTTGTGGTTTTAATTCATGCACCCAGGCTGGAAGCTCCGTCACAGCACTTACATCTGACAACTGCAGTTACTGTGGCATAACATGGTATATACATAGTATACATGCACAGAAACTCTACTTGAATGCAGCCCCTTGTGGAGAATCAGAGTTATTGTGGAGTAAATAAATTCAAATCTGTTAAAAGGTACAGGTATTTTTTCATACTTATTCTGTCAGATTGATCCAATAATTGATACTTTTTAAAAGAATTATGTTGTTTTATTTCTGTAACCAGTCAGCAAGGTTCAGAAGCATGCGGATAAAACTGAGAAGAGTGGCTTTATTAACACAAGGCAGAGTCTTAGTCCAAGTACATGCATAGGTCAAAACCAGGAAACGATAGATGATCACAAATGTGATCATATCACAAGGCAAACAAATTCCAGAGGGCAAAACAAAAGACAACATCAAAATAACAGGCCAAAAAGGTTCAAAACCACAAATCCAAAATCCAGCAACGGTACAAAAGGGTCAGGCAAAAAGCAGAGTCGAAAAAACAAGATTGGGGTCAACAAACAGAGTATAGGAATCGGAATAAATGCTCAGTAAGTTCTATAAAGAAGCAATACCTCGCAAATGACCCTTTCTAAAGCCCGGGCTTAAATACTACACTAAACTGGTGATATGACATAAACACACAGGTGAAACCATTCAATATTCTGGTGACCGAGAGCACTGATAGGTGCAAGGCTGATCGTCACTGATCACATGATCCCCGCTTGACTCCTGGGTAATGGAGTCCATGAGGGACTCCGATTCTACAGGGAAGTCCGCTGTCACGTGATTTCCCAAGGTGTCTTAGGAAATGTAGTCCGTAACACTAGAAGAGTCCATATAAGGCATGACAGTTTCACTGCTACAACATTTTACTTGCAACTGTCCTAGCACCAGCGCTACATGCTCAAAAGTTCACTTACAGTCTTGTTTAAGCAAAAAAAGTTTGTTCCAGAATCTTCCTATTGTTTACAGTGCTCTACTCTGCAGTGTATTCTATGGGAAAAGCCTTCTTCACTCTCTTTAGCCCTATTGGAGCTGGATTAGTTTCATCTGGGGAGATGCTATTATTTAAATTATTATTATTATTTTATTCTATTCATGATTTTAATCCAGTACGAATCCTAAGTTTTTACAAGTTTGCTACATAATAATTCCAGAGTGAACCAACTTCTATAATTCGCCAAACTCTGAGCTCCCTCAGTAATATTTGTTCTGTTCAAGCTGACATCACAGTGATGTAATAACAAATCCTGTTGCATAATGCTGAGGTAAACGTCTGTGCGATGATGTTTTGATTCAGGCTATTTGGGGTAATTTGGGGAAATTACACAGAGCCTTTATCCTGTACTAATGGGCCAGTCAAATGATGCACAAATTACGTTATCGGACCTCCTCTGCTAAAGCGAATTGGGCTCGAATAGAGCTTTTATTGATAACAATCCCTCACATTAAGCAGTTTTTAATTCTTTAATTCCTAATGTAACACCTGATTGAGTTGATGAACCTTCAGGAGCCTCTGAATGGGGGAATCTGGATCTGATTAAAACTGCAATAAAACACTGCAGGATAAACAGCAGGAACAAAAGTAATGAAGAATTAGTTAGTTACACCTTGTTGCCAAAGACATTTGGTTTATTCTATGCTAATAAATGTATTACTGTCCATTAAATATTCATGTTTACTTCTACAAAGTTAGTGTTGCTCCCAAATGGTAGTGTAATTTCTTTGAATTCAATGAGAAAGACTTTGTGTCCTGCTGAATGTGAAGCTAATGAGAATGATTAGAAAAAGATGAATAGAGTCTCTCTTTCTTTCTGCTGGTTTCTACAGGTGTATCCCACGGCGACACGGGCGCTTGGTCTGGGCACCAGCAGTGGCATGGCTCGGGTCGGAGCTCTAATCACACCCTTTGTGGCCCAGGTACCCTTTTTATGCCATGCATACAGTCTCTTAGCAACAGCACCAGAACAACTTTGTCACCCATCTGTTGTACGTGTGGACGTTGGTGCAAAAAAAACAGTAGACATTTTATGACATTAGGTTGTAGCCTATTACTGACTGCAGTGCAGTTATCATCTTACCAATTTCAAAACTGCAATAAATGAGCGAGACTGTGCACACATAAACAAAAAGCAGGCTTTATATAAACCCAACCAACACTACAACACCTTTCCTATATAGCAGTCATGCTCAATCCTGGTTCTGGAGATCTACCACGCTGGAAAGTTCAGATCCAACACACTGTCATTTTTAGATACCTCTGGGTTTGGGTTACCTCTAGGTATTTATTATCTGGATCAGGTGTTAAATTAGGGTTGGAGCTAAGTTCTGTAGGGTGGTAGATCTCCAGGACAAGGATTGGGCACCTTTGCGATAAAGTATTAGTCTGTTCATAGGGAGCACAACCACAGAGAAGACCATGCATGTTAAAATCAAACAGCTGAGATGTAATTTACACAAAAAGTTGATGAAAACAATATCTGCAATCTTATCAATCTTATCTAAGCTAAAGCATACTGCCATGGCAGGCATGAAAAATGTTTAGTAACTATTTTCCAAGTGGCATAAATGAAACCATATATATCTTACCTTTGATGATTCCTTTTTTCACGCTTTGATTTACAAGGGGTTGGACCAATTTTGTGAGAAAAGTCACTCTAGACCTTCTAGAAGTCCTAGATATGTCAATGACCTAGTATGAGCGGTTGCCTGACCAGTGCATTTCAGTCAGATGTCAGGATTGGAACTTCGGTGGCAGCTTTGTGCTAGGGCTTTTTACTAGAGGAGTCGTTGTGAAACTGCTACAAGGTAAAAGATCCTAATATATCTGTTATGAGATTCACATAAATCATTGAATGTCAACGAAAAATGCTCACATGAATCGCCGTCGGCTTAGCATGCACTCTCCACTAGAATGCCATAAGGGTGCTAGCAGAAGTTAGCATTATCATAGTGCTGTTTTTTCTTTGTTTATGGCCTGAACTTATGGCCCAGCTCTGATAGTCATTGATTTCCATGAGCTATACTACCTAATAACTTTTAGCATTAATAACTGAATAATATGCCTGGGATTCAAGTGATTAAAATCTTTACTTCCACCCTCCATGCTGCAGGTCATGTTGGAGTCATCGGTGTACCTGACACTTTCGGTGTACTGTTGCTGCTGTCTGCTGGCCGCTGTGGCCTCCTGTGCCCTGCCCATTGAGACCACAGGTCGCGGCTTGCAGGAGTCCAGCCACAGGGAGTGGGGGCAGGAAATGATGGGCCGAGCATCCAACCACAGTCCAGACGCCATCCCCCGCTCCAGCTCCGGATCACAGAATTGAAAGAGGGAAGAATGGAGGCAGACGAGAAAGGAGGCAAAACTTAGAGGGCAACTCAGATGAGACCATATTGGGGAGAAAATATGAAGAAAATTGAGTCAAACAACAAAGTCTGAACCAGGCTAGACTGCCGGAAAGGACAGTGATAGGATTTTGAGAAACCAATGTGTATCCAAAATCTACCTGATAACGCTAATGGCGTGAAAAACACTGCGTTCCCTATTAGTTCAGAAAAACACCCAAGTTCACAGCCACCCACTGTGGATAATGTTCCCCATTATAAAATGATTCAGCCAGAAAAGCTAGCATTGCTAACAAATGAATGCTAGCAAGGGCCAGTTTGCATTACACAAGGTTATGCTAACTTCTACCGACTACCTTGCATTCGTTGTTGACCACATCAGAATTCTTGGGTATAAACTGATGTCTTACAGATCTCTAAAGGAGATTCATAGGGTAAGTTAATTCGAACATTGCTAGCTCCATTGTTAGCCTAAATAGCTCTCTCTAAAACCACTAGCTGGTTAGGCTAAATGGCTAAATCATGTGGTTCTATACATTATTCTACCCTGAAGAAGAGGTGACTGGGGTTAAAATGACATACAGTACTGTGCAGAGTCAGAGACCACCCTTTCCTTTGTTGAATTTCCAGTCAAAACAGCCATGAAGTACAAGTTATTCATTTTTCAGTGTCAGGAAAAAACAGGAAAATATTTAACAGAAAATGACACAAAAGCCTTCAACACTAAGTATAATATCAAATCTACCAGCATTTAATTTGCCTACTCGTTACTTTTGTGCTCCTACGGCATCTTTAACTCTTCCATCCTTTCAGTCTTAAACCAACCAGTTCCAGCTGTGTCCTTCCGACAATTCACTAACATTATGTCCCATTCAGACAAACACTCAGCTGCCTTCACATTTCTCTCTCGTGTGCAACTTAAATGACTAAGGGAGATACTTCTGAGTAGATTAGATCTAAAATAATCCACTTGCATAAGAAAGAGCAAAGTCAAAGGAAAACAAGTGAAGAAAACAGGAGATGCCAAACTGGAGTTCAAAAATATATAAAAAGATATAGGGAAAATATGAATCCTAACAACCATGCAAGACCTGGTAGACCACCAAAACTGCCCCCATCAGATAAAAGCTTTTAATGCTTTCATCTTTGAGAGAGAGGAGAAAATCAAGCTCCACTCTTGCTTCAGATCTGAAAAATTCAGTTGTTTCTGTCCATCCTTCCACTGTAAAAAAACAACTCAATGCTGTGGGTCTGAAAGAATGTGTAGCTGTCAAAAAGCCCTTACTGAGAAAAGGAAATAGACTAAAAAGAAGAAAATCTGCTCTAGAACACTGAAAATGGACATCTAAGATGTGGAGTAAGGTTTTATGAACTGATCTTTGGAAGTAACAGAAGGCAGTTTCAGCTGCTGAAGCAATGAAAAAGTCTTTGAACCATGTCCGCAAACAAGCGTCAAACATGGTGGGGGATCATTGCACATTTAGGGATGTACAACAACATCTGGAGTTGGTGATTTGTTTTTGATCCAGCTGATAAGTGCAAACAATATATTGTGCAGTAACCTCTGGAAAATGTTAAGATGAAACTGATTCTACAGCAAGATAACGACCCCAAGCAAACTGCTGAGACCAAGACGTAGTTATCAACCAAAGTTTGTTGTTGAGGCTTTTGAGGTATTTACTGTTAAAAATGTAAAAAAATAAGAATAAATTGTACTTAAAAGCATTTAATTATTGGTGGTCTCCCACTTTTGCACAGTACCGAAGGTCCTTAATTCAGTTAGATGTGTAAATAATGACCAGTTTGGGGTTTTTAACACAGCTAGCATTTTGCCAAGTGAGACGAGCGAGACAGGTGTAAAGTGGATTTTACACCCCTCAAACCTTTGGTTGAGAAGTTTAGGGGCAGCACAAAGTGTGTATGTGAGAATGTATGGACGTACAGAAACAGAAAAGGAAGATTTTGCCTGAGTTTATTTACTTACATAATAGAGCCTTACAGCACATGTCCCAAATAAAAAAAATAATAAAATAAAAGAACAGAAGACGCTCAAAGAAGTCAGCCCACAGTGCACTAATAACACTGTTCAAACAATAGCCTCTTTCAGTGAACCATTGTTACGCTGCAAAATCTTGCTGTGGGCCCACATTTCATTTGTTTCCATTGATGATGTGAAGTGGAGTGAAATGTGTTGTGAACACCAAAGCTGTCGTTATTTTTGACCACCCCACCGCATCAGAGGGCACGTCTCACTGGCATTAGCTGGCATTTAGTGGGCTCTTCCTGCCTGGCGGGGTCCAAGCACATCATTAGCAGAATGCCACTCACAGTCACTTCGATAATGTATTAGATATGAATGCACTCTATATGTTGTTTATAAACATTAAGTATATCAAAAACCTATGAATTTGTCAGTAAAGTGCTGATCTAGGATCAGATTCCTCTTGTATTGGTTATGGCTTTACTAACAGAAATAGATCCTAGATCAGTACTCCTACTCTGAGAAGCTCCATCAATATGGACTATTTTGTCTAAAATTATTGTTGCTGTTGTTACAAAACCTTGTATCTCCTAAATTGAGGGTTTCAACTTATTTAAAATTTATCCTTAAATTCCATAAATCATCATTTTCATTTTTCTGTGGCTAAATAATTACATCTGATGGGTAGATTTGCTTCACCCACCAGACACTGTGGTTGTTACCCAAATGGTTACCTAACATAAGCTGTAAAAAAATCAGCTAAGACTGATGATAAAGATGTTAAAGCAAAATTAGAGCGCTGCATGCAAGAGGAACCATTCAAACTAAATCTTGACGCAGCATGAACGCTGCACCCTGAGCAGGAATACTATAATTCAGATAATAAAAAAAATAAACCTGAACTGATTATAATAAGATTCAGTGACCAAATTCTCGTTACCGCAGCACAATAATATTTGAAGATAAATCTGTACTTTTTTCACATTTCTTCATCATCTGTATACTGTTTTTAAGTATTTTAAAGTTAAGTATTAAAAAATAAATATATTTTGCAATTTTATCTTATTACCACAACTCATTGACAGCCACTGAGGCTCTTCTTTTTAACCTGTGCCAAAAAGCATTTTATTGTTTTGATTAATGTCCTTATAGTTTACAAGGAAAACATTAAAGAGGTTCATCAGTCAAAACTAATTAATACGAATTTGTTTGAATTAAAAAAGTGAAAAAAAATGATAAATATCATTTTGTGGTAAAACTCCACAAATATGACACTTAAATATTTATGGACATGTTTTGAGGTAGGTGTACGAGAATGACCCAGATACAGAGCGTCAGAATCAAGAGAGGAATGGAATAATTAAATGAATCCACTGAGAACGCAGATTTAACTGCTCAGGTTCACTCACAGCAACTTCACTCACGTTCAGCAGCAACATCAATGCTATCACAATAAGAGTCCTACATAATTCTAATGGAAGCTTAGTTGATTAAACTGAACATGAAAATATTGACTAAATGCAAAGTATTTGTAGTACTACTATTATTATATTACCACTAATAACTATGATAATAATAAGAGTAATAATAATGATAATAGAAGTGATAACAAACACTGACCAAGATTAGCTTAAATAAATGTATGTGTTTATGTATTTAAAATTCATACTTGGGGATATGGACCAATATTTCCCCTATTTTTGTTTACAATGATAGTTAAAATGTTAGATGAAAAACTTTGTATACTTAAAATTAATACTAGGAAAAAAACATATGGGACTTTTTCTCTGCATTTTTAAACTGGTTTCCTTTGGAGAATGCCACCTGGCTAGTAGTGCCCCCAATAATTAGACTTTGACTCTGTCCTAATTGGTACCTTTATAGAAGAAAGAATTTTTTTTTCCTAGATTAACAAGGCTAATCTAACAAAATGAAAGTCATTTTTGGATTATTCTTATTGGTTCATTCATCATGAAGTGATCATGTAATGTAAAAGGCAGGTGGATTTACAAGGTTTTGATATAGCAGTGACGACACATACAGTAAAGGTATTTAAAGGTATTTACTTCAAATGTGCAGTTCCCTCTGCTTGGAATCCAGCCGCAACTGAAATTATCACACAGTATATTCAAGGCCTTGATTATAGTGGGACTGGACACACATGGACACCTCCTGTACACAGCTCTATTTACTTACCACTCAGTGCTCTGTTTCATTTATTTCGTCAATCGTTTTCACTTTTCAGCTGTACAGTACATAGGTTTGGGTTGGAAACTTGCTGCCATGGGTGAATAAAAGGTAAGGCGATGTGAAGTGTGAAACAGTGTAGGGTTGGGGTCATTTCAGTTCACTTTTATTTGTACAGTGCTTTTTACAAACCAGACTCCAAAAAAGTTGTGACAGTATGTGAAATGCCATTAAAAATAGAAAGCAGTGATTTGTAAATTCTGTTTGATCTGTATTGAAAACAGTATAAAAACACAATATTTGATGTGTTTCCTCATGAACTTCATTGTTGTTTTGTAAATATATGCTCATATGATGCCTGTGACGTGCCAAAAAAGCCGCAACCGTACAAAGTCTTTTTTGTCGTATTTTGCACTTCATTAAGTGCCACACATTTTCAATAGAAGACAAACAGACCACTAAGCGTCGAGCACCCGCACTCTGATTACTCAGCCATGCTGTTGTGACACATGAAGAACTTGGCTTGATGTAGTTATATTGGATGTCCCTGAAAAAGACACCATGATGTCCATTTTTCCAGAAATCTAATAGGTTGACTCGTCAGACCACAATACGTTTCCACCATGCATCAGTCCATTTCGATGAGCTCAAGTTCAGACAAGTCAGCAACGTTTCTGGATGTTGTTAACATATGGCTTCTACTGGGCATAGTACCATCTTAACTTGGATTTGTCATAACTGCATCACATGTTTAGAATGTTTTTTAACATTTCACAATGTTTCTAGTCTTAAATCGCTCCTTTCCCAACTTTTGTATTGTGTTGCTGGCATGATTTTCAGAATGAGTGCATATTTACAAAAACAATGAAGCTGATAAGATAAAACATACAGGTCAAAATACTTTTTTTTTAATTATTATTATTATTATTATTTTTTTTGGAATTTCACATGCTTACCCAACTTTTTTGGAATTGGGTTTATACAATAAACACTGTCGCAATGTTTCATCAAGTTCTATTTGTATTCAGCTAAGTCAGTACATGGGCTACAATTCAACTAGTTACATTTTAATTCATTTGATTTGATTCCTTGTTGAATGACCTCCTCAAACAGCCTAATTTGACCCCAGCCCTGTGGCCAGATAGAGAGCTGTCTTGTCTCCTACATGCCTGCCTTCGCGAGTGCTGAGTTTAGTGTCTGTGTGCACAGATATCCTACACCGCACTGGATCAACATGTGTATCTACAATAAATTATATTTCAAAATAAGACAATTAAACGTCCCTGTCACTTTCATTCAGTATTTATTGCTTTCTCACAATAAAGTTATTTGATCATTTCAAGTAATTCTCATATATGCCTATTTAAAAAATGTAAAAGAGAGTTAGTGGGGGAAAGTTAAAACATGCAGGATTTAATAATAAAAAAATGAATTTAGTCAAATTTTCTTATATCACCGCTGTCTAAAGAAAAAATCTCCCAAATTATAACTTTACAGGAGAGGGCAGAAACATTCTGAACTTTTAATGTAAGTTAATGTAACATGTTTTTATTCCAAGCAATTTTTAAGCATTTCTATTGGTCCATTATCATGAAAACTAAAAATCACAAAAAAGTAGATACCTGTTTGGACAGCAATAAAATATCTATCTATATATGGATTTCCACTATAGTGAGATCATTTTTATTGCCACCTACAGCTTGCAATTAAGCATTTAATTCCACTTTTTATATCGTCTAAAGTATCTAGGTTTAAGGGGAATTGAACCAATTTTTCAGAAGATCTATATAATCCAATCATTGAGATGATTTTATGATTTTCAACACAGAAACTTAGAAGACACATATATGTTTACTTTTTTGGATAGTAAATAAAATGGCTATATTTGTGTTATAGACACTGTGACTCCTGGTTCTTATTAGCACCACTGTAAAGAAATCAGAATGAATAAGCTTGACTTTGTTCACATCCCAATGACTGAATTATGTAGAAATTAAAAGAAAAAACAGTAGAATTAAATATACCCTTCAAACTTTGTGCATAACCCACTACATGATATAAAACTGGTGATAATTGATGGCCATCTGGATTAGGACTAATGTTAATAGTCTGCTGGATTACAGTCGAGATTTAGGTTTCATTTGCCAGTCTTTCTGCTGGAGGATCTCTCCAAACAGCCGGGCAGCTTCCTCAGCACATCCTCGATGGATCGTCAGACCGTAGCCTCCATGACCATAGTTATGGATAACCTGATACAAGACAATAGAGGAGATGAGAAATAAAGCAGAGATCAAGATTAATTCTCAATTTCAATAAAAGTTGCAATAAAACTGCAACAGAAACACAGTATTAAATCTGTATGTATGTGGAAGTCTACATTGTTGGTATCAGCAGGGAACCCTCGGAACATTCCAGGCCTTCAGAGAAGGCCTAATGACTTCTGTGAATAGAAAAATACATCTGCGTTTTTGCTCAGTAAAAATGATCCAATCAAATATTGTTTTCTTTTTTATCTGCTGTATCTAGATAGATATAGCCAAGTTAGCTCTCCCTTTTGTTAGGCCTTTAGAACTGTCACTGACTCTGAGTTCAAGCTGTAGTCTAACCAGGTTTCAGTCAGTTGTTAAAAAATGTAAAACAGCAGCAGCAGCAGCAGCAGCTCTGTTTTAGGACTCTTTCTGAAAGAATGACTGTAGAACTGCTACATACAAGACAAAATGTCTGATAATGTCTCTTACAAAATCCAAATAAAATATGCAATGTCTTTTACTAGCCTAAAATGTCCAGCAGCCAAAAAATGTTCATGTGCAGCAGCATTAGCCTAGTGCTAACAGAGAATCCCTTAAAGATGTTAGCAGGAATCCTGTTGTGCTAGAATCCCATAGAGATGATAGCAGTAATTAGCATTATCATACAGGTGTTTTTCACCTTTTTGAGCAAGTTTAACAATTATAATCCAACCTGAAAGCCTAGCTCTAATAGCCATTGTTTGCAAGCAGTTGATACAATATTGCATTTGTTAATTCAGATCAAAGAAACCACATAAATGTCAAAAGTTAAAAACAGAGAAAAAAACCACCATTATGATGATGCTAAATTGCAGCTAGTTTGCCTATGGAAGTTCTAGTAGTATGCTAGCGCTAAGCTAACAGTGATACAGAAGAACTTTTTTGGCCATTACAGAATTAGAGATTACACACAAATTTAACACATTCGTATCTTGTATAAAACATTACATGATTTATGTGAAGCATGTAACAGAGTCAAAAATGAAAACACAAAAAAAACATCTACAGTGGGGATGAAAAGTCATAGTTAATACAAAATATTTCATTACAAAATCTACTATCAGCATAACAGTCTGAGTGAACAGTAGAATCTTTAAAATATTAACAAGTATTTCAGAATTTCTAGGTGTTTGGCCCCCATTTGCTTTAAGGCCAGTGTGCACTTGAGCTGGTACGGACTCTGATCACTAACAGTGACAAAAGCCTCTGAAGAGTAGATCAAATCCACCTGAAAGTCATCTGGACACGAGCTTCAATAGAAAAGATAAGACTCTGACCTTTTGTACAAAGGCCTAAACTTGGTGAATGTCACAAATTTGCTTCAATTTGAATAGTGACCTAGAAAAGGTGAAACTAATAAACTCATTACATGCGTAATTGTGCTGCAGTTTTCTATTTCTAATAACTGACTGAGACTTGTATTCACAGTCAGTGGCGTATCCTGAACTTCCAGAAGGCCTAGCATGACCAACAAATTGTTCCCACATTTTGGAAATCAAAATGTGATTGATTGGTGGTTAATCAGATGCATAAGGCCTTCAGTCCAGCTCTTGAAGTCCTAACAAATGAGAGAGCTCTCTAAGCTTATCTACCTCAATACCACAGATTACTTTTCAAGAATTTAGCCCTTTTGTTCCCAACCAAAACTTGATAAAGTAAGAGTATTATAACAAGCATGAATATTATATTAAATAAAAATTAACTAAAAATTAACATCATATCTTTTCTTAGTTCCCAGAAATCATTAGATCTTTTTTTGCAGGTCTAGTGGGCCCCGGGGGTTCCTCACATTTTTAGTCACTGACTGCTGTTAGGAGTAGCTTAGAACAGCAAAAGGAGAAAATAACATCACTCAAAATCATGTTAATTTGGTTACCAGTTTGAAGTAAACTAGCCGAATTTAAGGGGGATTTTTCATCAGAACAATTAACATAGCAATACTTTTAAAATGCAGTCATACTTTGTTTTCTGGAATGTTGTGTATTTGTATACAGATTAATAAGCCAGTTGGCAACATATCAAGCAAACTTAATTCAATCTTGAAATAAGAATGAATGCAGTGGGACTCTTTTATTTAAGCAGGTGTCACAATTTAAATAAGTCCCTGAGCAGATCATTCTAAGCTTATAGTTATATATCTTTAGGGCATCTTTAGGACAGTCATGGGCTGAAGGTTCGGGAAGCCCTCAGACCAGAAGGTTGCCGGTTCAATCCCCTGAGCCGACAGTATGTGACTGAAGTGCCTTTGAGCAAGGCACCTAACCCCCAAGTGTTGTGGATAGGGCTGCCCACCGCTCTGGGTAAGTGTTAAAATGTGGAGGTGAAGTTTCCCTGTTGTGAGACTAATAAGGGTCACTTACAGTCGTTATTGTGATTGGTGGGAACTAGCCTTAGCATGATGGTATTTTAACCATTTTACTGTATTTTTAGAGAATATTACAGAAGCCAAACAGAATGGAGTCTTCCAGTGACTTTTCATTAATGTCTATTGGCCACTGGCCAGTTGATATGAAGTTCTCATTTGGTTAAGAATGTAACACATCAGTTATGACAAAACCTTTTTAACTAATCACAGCAGTTTTCAGTGTCTCATTGGCTGACAAATGATTTACACTGTGAGCAAATATCCACAACTTTTCACCAGTGAAGTAATGCCAAGTGGCACAGTCAAAATCAGGTTATATTTAGGTTTAGGTTGGAGTTCAACTTAATCTCAGCCTTGATCCAACTGCACTACTTGACTTTTCTATCTTTCTACATCAAAACATTACACATTCGGTGTCTGTGGCAGTGGCTATAATTGACTGAAATCTCATCAATATGTGGTAAGTGTTGCAAGGTGGGTAACATTGCTGCCCTCTATGCCGCAGGCTGGGGTTTGAATAGGAATAGTAAAGACATCGTGTTTATACTCTGGTTAAATTAGCGTTTGGAGGTTCAGTGCTATGAAGACCCGCTCCTTTAGAAGTCAACAGAGTCAGTTGCACTATTGCTCGAGGAAAGAAATTCACATCACATGACAGATTAGTGAAATGTTCCACTGTTTGCCGAGTGTTTGTCATAATCGGACCATAAGTGATAGTTTAAAACCACAATTAACCACCCAGGAGCAAAATCAGCCTTCAAACGTGAAAGAAATTATGATTTGACATTTATCGCGATATGTATCGATATCGAACGATATGAATTTTGTTTATCGTGATAACGTTTTTGGCCATATCGCCCAGCTCTAATCACAGGTTACCAAAGTTGAACTTGACACAAAATTTCATATGCGAAATTTAATTGCTCTGGAAATCTGCAAAATGAAATTGCCTCATCACAGGGAATTCCAATGAAAGGAAAGTAATTTCGCTCATGAAAATTCATGTCAAACTCAAGCGTGATTGGGCCTTTAGACTATTAGACTAAATATTACTGACTTTTTAAAGATAATCTAGCATCTTAGGCCAGTAAATCTCTTCTAACTATTGAAAAGTTGAGAGTTCACCTCATAAGTGTTCGGTCCAGATCGCATGGTCTCCCTCTCCAGCCTCACTTTACTGCGTGCTGGCCTGAGACCGGTCCAGACATCCACAATCCGGGCATGCTAGGGGCGAAAGAGGGGGCAATGGTGTTAACAGGCTACAAAGACAATGGCAGTTTTAATGAGCTGTTTAGCGGAAGCTCATAATTTGCAGGCTAAATAAATGCATTGATATGAAAGACACTGGCTGGTGAGTAGCCCTGAGTGAGCTCACATTATTTAAGTTATAAAATTATTACACTTAGTGAAAGACTAAACTCCAGTACCTGACTGATTGTGATCATGAGCCCTTACTAAGTCACTTGACTCATTCACAAAACATATGCCCCTGTTTATAAATCTTCTTTAAAAAAAATAAGCTAAAAAAGAAAACCAGCCCTCATCAAACACATATTTGAGACCTATAAACTCAAACCAAAACAGTTCCTGTTCACAATTATCCATTCCACAAATAAAGAACATCTACTATCATTTCCATACTTTTAGGCTGGGCTCAAGTTTACAGGCCTCATCCCACATTTTTTTGTGGTCAATGAAACTGTTTTGCTGACTCCAGTTTCCTTGCTGGAAAGTTCCACCGATGGTGACCAAACGGCTCCTGAAGAAGGGTAAATATAAAACCTGCTTAGTACACGATTGTATTTGCAAACACAAATACCTCTTTAAAACTGGTGGATTTTTTTAAAGGAGTAGTTTGACCTACATTTATTACTTATGTATGGAAACTATTAGGCACCATAGGATCTAAGTTGCTGGCTACTAGCTTTAGGGTTGCCACACGTCCAGAATTGTCTTGTCTCTTGGTTGTCTGTCCAGGTAAACTAGAATTCCATTCCCGGACACAAATGTCCTGGAATCCAAGCATTGTCACGTTAGCATTTCCTATGAAGTTTAAACTGTTTCCTTTTATCCAGTTAAACCATCAATGGGTTAGATTAACACTCAGTTTAGCGACAGCTGTTTCAGTAAGGTACAATTAGGCACTACCAACTGACTCTGGCAAAAAATCAAGCCACTGAAAGAATTTTACAGCAGTAAGGTGGCAACACTAGTTAGCATTTTTGGTCAAAGTACTCCTTTTAACCCCTTGAGCCTGTAAGGCAGCTTACCCTGGGATGATATAAGGTTTACTATAAACTTCTGCTGTTAAACTGTGGGTCAGAATCCAGTGCTTTATCCAAGGAGCATCTACCTAATAACAGAAAATAAGAAAATGACACAAACAGCATAAGACCACCTGTGTGTTCTACTGATTTTGATCATGAGTAATTTAGGTGTTGTTTTAGCCAAATATCTAATTTTCTCCTTACCCCAAATGTAGTTCGCTTCATTTGCACGAGCTATGTGGCTAATGCAGGTAACACAAATAACAGAAGTTTGAGCTACCAGTTAGCATTGTACATCACACACTTGCCTCAAACCATGCTGAGTTGTTAAATAATCTCAAAAACACTTATGTAGTTTCTGTGTACACTGTGTAAACAGTGCATTATAGTCGTAAATAAATAATCCAACTTTGTTTACATGGCATTAGCAAACCAATTAGCATGCTAGCTGATGCACTGTAAAATTAGAGGCTAGAACAATGAATAACACAAGCAGTCTAAATTGTGTAAAAACATTAGCTAGCTTGTGTATAACTGATGACTGGATGCTAACAAATGCCCGTTTGGGGTTCTGCTTACAGTTTAAATTACAGATAACCATCTCAGCATTCAGTTTCTGCTCAACTACTCCTTGTCTTCTTATTTCCAACCAGACACAATTAGCCAGTTGCTATTCCCCCCTCATTTGAACATCTTAGACAACGTAATGGTATGTTAATAACTCATAAAATGTTAGGTGGGCCTGATAGCAGTGCAGCTGTAAGCAGTCAGTTATTAGCTAGCGACGGCTCTGCTAGTATAAAATTAGACAAAAGTGCAGACACAATTCAGTCTTCAAGTTGGCTGCTACTACTGTTTTTAGCTACGCTAACATACCTTTGTCCATTTTTATAGACAACAGTATGGCATACAAAAACAACATAAGCATGTCCATTTGAGATTATGGTAACAATAAGAGTACTTCAATTAACAGTACTCAGGAGTGTAATAAGCATTACTAAATGGTTAAGTAATGTATCATTTAATCAGCTAATGATTTTATTAAGTATTTATAAAATCCTAGTTTTTACTGTCCTAGTTGAGTAACATTAACAAACATTAATAGTAACATTAATAAAGTGCTTAATAAAATCTAAAACCATCCTGTCATTTCCATCATTAGTAAATCATTAATTGAAATATTACTTAACCATTTAGCAATCATAATAAACTACTTAATAAAAACTAATGTTAGTTCCTATTTCTATCATTAGTGTATGACTAGATGTAACATTACTTAACCGTTCAGTATTGCTTATTATGCTCTTTATGGTACTCTGATTGTAAAGTGTTACCGAGATGACTGTGACTGAGATTACTTAAACTGGTGGCTATGCTCATCCATTATGCTACATTAGTATTGTAGCTGCAGTTCAAAACTAGATAACTGATCAACTACATTTAAGTGGGGATCATTTGCACATTTGTTTTTGGCTGAACCATTACCACCTGTAGAATGATTCTGACCACCACCTCTTTATTCTGACCTTAACGATTTGCCCTCGGCCTGGAGTGAGCTCAGGGTCAGGTTGTAGGTCGCCTGATCGAACACCAGAGCAGTTCATGATGACATCTGCACCACTGTCTGCCAGCTACTCAGCAAAAAGAACAAAAAGACAGGAGATGTGCTCATTCTGTTCATATCAAAGGTATCGAGTTGAGTATGTCTTTGTGTTGGAAGTACTACATTAAAGGCACTACATTAATCTACTCATACAGGAGTAATGACCACAAAAAATATTCCTTATATGGAAATAGTAATACAGGATCAGGGTGAAATTATGGTGGAAATCTAACTTAATTAAAAATATTAAAATTCAAGGCTGAACAGAGGGACCCTCTAAAACAGACTGAAATTGCAATTTATGGTTATTGTGAAAAGGGGTTAATGGCTTACAATTTATGGTCATGTTAATGTGTAATTAAATGATAAGAGATAACAGTGGATTGGCACAGTCATGTAAGTAAGGTTTGACTTAAAGCTCCCCTATTATATTTTTTTGTTGTATTATTGTTTGTCCTTAGAGTCCAATTAAAACGTTTGTGTGGTTTTACGTACCAAAACAGGCACTGTTTATTTTTACTTGACCATTTCTCAACCAATATTTATGTATTAGATTTAAACAGGATGTCTGTTCTGATTAGCCACCATAATTCAAAAAGAGGTATGGGCTGAAACACTCCTTATAACTTCAACGTGAATGGGTGGAGCTACACTGCATAGGCAGGTAAAACTGCATACAGAGAAGCCCAAAAATCTGAAACCCCAGTGAAAATCTGGTATTTTTTAATTCAACCTGGAGACAAACAACAAAATTTTGTAGAATCTTTAAAATTTTAAAAGTAAAGTTATGACAATTAAAATGAAGAAGAAATATTAGAAATTCTGCAGTATTTCAGTTGACTCTCAGGTGGATTTGATCTACTGATCAGAGACTTTTACACTCCATGCCAGCATGAGTGCACGCTGTCATTAAAGCAAAATGAGGAAATATGAAATACTAAGGAATTCTGAAATTATCGTAAACAGTCAAAAATTCTACTTTACGCTCAAATTGTTATGCTGACCAAAATGACGAGTTCAAAGAGCTTACCTTCCATATATGGACCATATGAAATGGTGAATAAATGTTGTTTTATAAACTTTAACAGTATTTAAAGACTATACCAATCTCTTTTCTGTCAATGGGGAATCTGTTTTTCCATGATATGGGCCCTTCAATACTTTTGAACCAACAATTTACCAACAGTTGTTGTAAAAAGGAACTCTCTAACCTCTTGAAATGAGTTAATTTTCCTGTGGTAAAACTTGATGCCTCTTTGTGACAACCTGCATAGGAGAAAAACAAAAAAACAAAGCGTCCAAAGTACAAAGTGTCATTAAGTTTATAAGGGCCAAAGGAGATACAATGTCAATCTGTCATTATTGCATACCATATATCATTACATATTTTAATGTCATTATAAACAACAGCTATTGTTTTGGTGTTACATACTGAAATGTAATATAAGTGACCACAAAATATGCTCTATTAAAAAAGATATTATTCTGATTTACTGACTGCAACTCTTGTTTCTGTCAAGTTTGAAGTTGTCAGTGGGCCAAATGAAAGTTCTTGGGCGTCACTGAGAGAAGGATTAACCTCTCACCAGTTCATGAGCCAGGGCAGGTAGGTCTTCCCTTCCAGCATTAGAGCAGTGTTAAACCAGCCAAAGCTGACAACAACATGCACACCATTAGAGAAGAGATCACAACCATGAGGTTAAAAATAGAACAGTTAAAAGGGAAATCTACTGTTTTTTCAAACTTTCTTGACAACAACATGCACACCATTAGAGAAGAGATCACAACCATGAGGTTAAAAATAGAACAGTTAAAAGGGAAATCTACTGTTTTTTCAAACTTTCTTGACAACAACATGCACACCATTAGAGAAGAGATCACAACCATGAGGTTAAAAATAGAACAGTTAAAAGGGAAATCTACTGTTTTTTCAAACTTTCTGCATTGTTGAGTGGTTAACAAGTAAACAGAGTCATTCACAGTGGTGTGATGTGGAATGTTCAGTTTCAGAGAAACTTACTGAGTCAGAATTGTTCACAGTGGTGATGATAGGAACCACATACCTAAAGCATTTAATGTCTCTAAAAGCTCCCTCACAGAAAGTTATTACATGAAATGGTTACAAATATGCTACCTGATGACTGAGACATTGTTTTGAAATATAATCTTCACCTAAAACCTACACAAAGTGTTTATACATTCATGGTTGAATACTAGCTGGGTGTTGGAAGGCAAAGTAGTCCCTAAAGACAACGTCTTTATTCAGATTAACCACTATTTTTCAATCATCAACATTACATTTAAAAACTCGTGTAGGTTTTAGGTTGTAAGTAAAATGGCTACATTTGCTTTGTGGATATCACAACCTCAATTTAGCCTGTTTTTATGTCTCCTGAGTGATGCTACTTCTTTCAATTTTAACAGAAAATCTTACATAGTGCAACTCAATGCATATCTAATTTGTATGTTTATAAGCTTCCATTACAAATTAAGCAAACTTCAGACCGCAAACATTACTACATTTAGGTTAAGGGAAAAAGCAGGTGCTTTAAAGCAATACTATGTGTCAGTACCTGTATCCTGGAAATATATCAAGCTCGCGCTGAGTTAGCTCACGAAAACCCAACACAATATCTTTAAATGAGGGCTCCTGTAATGAGAAAGGAGGTCATTAAAGTCTTTTTCTGACACTTTCACCTCACTGTTGAGCTTCAGTACAGTTTATAAAGCACAGTGACATCATTTTTGAAGTTTTGGCTCTGAACTCTGTACCAGCATATTGAAAACGTGAATAAGAGTTTAAAGTGCTAAATTTCCATTTTAATTTGAAGATATTTATGTTTATACTTATATGTAGACCGTACGTAAATGGGCATTTAACCTATCCAGACACAAAACCTGTTCTCTTGAAGCAACTGTTGTGAAGTTCACAGAATGCTGGTGAAATATCATTTAACCTCATGAGAAATCAGTTTTGATGAGACTTGGCCCTTTTGAAGCTGAGAAGTTGAGATGTAAACAAAGTAATTCAGATTGATTTGATGTGAAATGGGTCATTGCAGAGAAACTTACTGACTCTGATTTCTTTACAGAAGCAGGGCTTGCAATGTCTACAAATACAGCCATTTTATTTATGATGCAAAAGCACCAGTGAACCTACATGTGTCTTCTGAGTTTGTATATGTAATAATTATAATGGTATAATAGCTGTAAATCTGAAAGATTACATTTTTATGGGGGATATTTTGCCTGACAATGCCCTGTGTGTACCTCTCCAAAATGAATGAATTTTAACAATTATATTTTAGGCCAAAACCTTCTCAAAACTCAGGTAAAACATTTCAAGTAATAACTTTCTGTGAGGGAGCTTTCAGATGTATTAAATTCTTTAGACGTCTAGTTTCTATGATTACCACTATAAACAGATCTGACTGTAAGTTTCTCTAGAATGAAGCATTTCACATCAAATCACTCTATATCATTTTGTTTACATCTTAATTTATGCAGAAATTCTGCAGAAATATTATGCAGAATAAATCCTCTCCCCCAAACACAGCACAGCAGCAGTTTAAGGTAATTGTTTGGAAAACCCACAGATATTATCTTTTATTTTTATTAGCCACTCAGAACTAAGATAACATTACCCTTACATAAAAAGAGAGCTACATTTCATGAGCAGTGAAGTTGGTTTCACTTTCACATATTTGGAATTACATAGGCTTATTTCTTTAATAGCTTTCAAACACTGGGCAAAATGTGTACGTTATCATTTTTAGCAACCAAGACAACCAGGTTTCATTCAGTTTTTATCTTAAATTGATGTACAACACATTGATTTCTGTTTTCACGTCTGTGCATTTAAAGAATGTGTATCTCACAAACAGCATGGCAGAAAAGAAAATGCTCTTACTGGTACGCGCTCGGTACATAGATTGTAGCCAGACTGGAGGAATATTCCCATTTTCATTGATTCTGGAGAGCTGAGGAAACTCAGGAGGTAATCAAACGTCTCTTTGTTCCATTTCCTGGAAAAGGTTCCAACAATTTATACATGGACAAGAAATCAGCCCATACATCAGCCAATAATCTAACAGCACAAATCACCATTGTCTTTTTGCCAGTTATCTGTCCAGAAAATCTCCTAGGAAGAATGGAAGCTGTAATGAAAGTCAAGGGTGGGCACAGTAAACGCTGAAAAATGTGATGTTATATTCAGCTGTTGAGGCTTTTGTGCAATTTTCTGTTTATATTAAATATGTTTTCTGCTTTATTTCAGCTTTATTGCTTGTACTTACAGGCAATGAAATAAATAAAGGGTGGTCTCTGATTTTGCACAATACTGTAGGTGCATCTTGTGGGTTTACAGTTATAGACTGTAGCCCATCTGTTGCTGCACAATTTATCAGCCCCCCTTAGCCATGTTCATCATTGAAAAGGGACCAACACAGGACCACCACTTAGTAGGTATTAACTGGGTGGGGGATCATTCTATGCACTGGAGACACACTGACACAACAGAATAAAATGCATATTCTTTAATATATTAGCATGTATTTAAATAAATTCTTTCCCCATTCAAAGAGGTCAGATCTTGTATGTATGTTTATGTGTGTTTTTGATAAAATGGCCTTTGTGTACATGCAAGTTAGGAGTAAGTAATAAACCCAGTGTATAATTAGCTAAGTAGCAGCTGTGTCAAAGCCAAAAGTACACTGTGGTGCCCTCCTGGACTGGAGTTTGACCCAACCCCACTGTAACACTGTCAGTCCTCACGTTTCCTGGACGTTGCCCTTGTCGTACAGGTACGGTTGCCAGAGCCCCGCTGCCCCGTCGCTGGTGGTGAGAGGGGTGAACACGTCGGCATAGACCTCTATAGTCAGGGGACTGACTTTGTTGTGGTAATGCTCATAAATGCTCTGGGCAGTGGACAAGCCAATGACCCCTGCTCCAATGACTGCCACCCGCATGGCTGCAGGGAGACACAAACAGCACAAATCTACATTAACAAAAGTCCCTCTGAAAATCAGAATTCACTTTCGCCACGTATTTTCCATATTACGGCTGAACAATAATTGCAATACCTTTTTTAAAATGACAAACCAAAAGTGGGTGTGGCTTAAACCAGAAATGAGCTTGAGGTGCTGGAAGCAGTGGTTTTTGAAGGAGAATTTAATCTTTACTTTTCAAAATTTCCACATAATCAAATGGTTAATATGTTAATGAAGTCATTCAGAGTGATTTGATGTGAAATGCTCCGTTCTACGAAAACTTAGTGTCAGTTTTTTTTTATAGTGGTGGTGACGGAAGCCATTTGTCTGAAGAGTTTAATGCCTATAAAAGCTCCCTCACAGAAGGTTATTACAAAAAATGGTTACAACTATGTTGCCTGATATCTGAGACTTTGTTTTACGAAGGTTTTGTGAAAAAGTTGTGACCTGAAACAGATTTTTTAAATCATAGGAGAGGAGTACATGCAGGGCAGGGCACTGTAAGGCGAACTTATTTGTTCAGATTCATGCAAAAATTCATGCAGACTTTTGCAATTAAAAGACATGGCTATGTCTCACTGTGACCCCTGATGTGCAAATAAAAGGTGGTATAATAACCGGGGGGAATTAAAATTCCATACCCAGCTCTATTCCACATCCAAGTAATTTGTCTTAGTGTGTGCACACGTTTAACATGCAATACAGTGAACAGACTAAGCAAGCATGGGTTTAATTATAAAAAATACAGGTATTTTATAATAGAGAAGAGGTCCTGAAGTACTCCTGCTCTTTTAGTGGTTTCCTGCTTTAACACACCTGATCTAACAAATCAGCTCATTAACAAGCCCTTCCTGAGTACTCTATCTGCTTAGGAAACTGGGACCTTTTTCAACCGTTTTTGGCATCGGCCATCTTTTATGGAGTGGTCTGCTGGGGCAGCAGCATCTCAACTGCGGACAGGAAGAGACGTGACAAACTCATTAAGAGGGCCAGCTCTGTCCTGGGAAGCCCCCTAGACCCAGTGCAGGTGGTGGGAGACAGGTGGATGTTAGCTAAGCTTGCATCCATGCTGGAGAACAGCTCCCACCCCCTGCAAGGGACTCTGACAGCACTAGGCTGCTCCTTCATTGACAGGCTGCTTCACCCCAAGTGTGTGAAGGAGCGCTATCACAGGTCCTTCCTTCCTGCTGCTGTTAGACTGTACAACCAGCACCGCTCCCACTGCTTCCTATCCATTTGCTGCTGTAGCACTGTAAATTTTTCACCTGTGATGGGACTAATAAAGGATTATCTTATCCTGTCTTATCTTATCTTGAAATGGATGTGTTAGAGCAGAACAACAGGAAAATGTGCAGTACAGATGTTCTCCTGGACCATGATTGTAACATAGGTAAAAAAAAGCCAACATGAATTTGTATATAGTTATGTAGTTACACAATAACAATATGAGTTACATATATAGTTAAAATCTGTCAGCCAGTTTTCCATACATAGGTCAATAATTCCACAACATAGGTAATGACAACGATGATCCACCCACTAAAAACCCTTTTAGTCTAGGCTTAGGCCTAATTTGTGTCTGGGAAACTGTCCCTAAAAGTTAAACTACAGAGCAGAACATTTAACGAAACTGAACGTTTCTGGCTAAAGAGTGTTAAAGGGTTCATATCATGGAAAACTGAAATTTAAAAAAAGAAGTTTTTATTCATATAAAACATGCAACATGTAAACACTGTTAAGGTTTTAAACTGTGCTGTTCACTCAGTCCATACAGACCATATATAAAACTAAGCTGCAAAAACGTTGTTTTGAATTCATTGTTTTTGTGATGTCACAAAAGCCAACTCATTTATATATATCCACCTATTAAGCCTACTATCAGCTCTGAGCATTGCTGTAGAGAAAAGGTCAGAGGTAGAATATAAAGTGTAATCATTTCTGGCTAACACCTGTTGCAGTGTTGTTGAGGGGGTTCATAATTAACTGTTAAATATGAAGACTGAGTAAGGAAAGTGCTGCAGCAGCACTCCATGAAAGGGATTGGAGAATAATTATCCAGTCAGTACAGTGCTTGTCCCACTGCCTGCCAGTTGTCCAAGACGATACAGTAATTGTTGCAAGTGTTGCAAACTAAGTGCTTTCAAGTTTAATATTACACTGACATAACTGAATGTGTCATCATTGGGTTTGCATCCATTCACTTTATGAACAAACTTTGGCATATCCAGTTGCAAACCATGCCTGTTAGAGCTAGACCAAAATGTGAAACTCGGTCATTGGAAATCGAAACATTGGGTAATTCCTCCATTAGTTCCTAATTGTATTAGTGATTAATATGACATGTTAGAACTTCAGTCCAGCTCTGAAAGGCCTAACCAATGGGAGAGTTTGTCTGGCTATATATAAGTAAATAAAATGCGGGACAAGACGACAACAGACAATTTTCCATTGAGCATTTCAAAAATTTAACCCTGCATTTGTGTTTTATATGCATTTTTATTTTACAGAAATCATTAGGTCTCCCAGAAGGTCCTAAAGGTTCCCCATTCGTATGATCACCAGCAAAGCAAATGGCTGTCAAGATCATTTCTGACCCTGCAAAAGTAAATCCAGATTAAACCTGGATATGAAACACAACTCAATTTAAGGAGTAAACACGCTCATAAAAAACAGAATCAAAGCATATTTGGACAGTTTCTGACCAGAAGTTCTTTCTCCTTCAGTTTCTTCCATCTCAGTTATTACTAAACCTTCACATTGCACTCCATGTTAATGCAATGGTTCGGCCAAAGAATGACACAATTTTCCGCACAAGACGTGTTTGTTGTCCACCTTCATTTTGCACTGGAGCCACGAGGGTAGCTAAGTTTGCACAATGCTAATTGGTCGGCTATAAGTTTGCATTACTTGTTAGCTACATTCCCTGCTAGAACACCAGCAAAACCAGCATATGTTGTGTTGTGATGCTGGTATGCTGGTCAACCAGCATGACCATGCTGGGGTGACCAGCTAAAGCAGCGCTAGACGAGCAACAGACCAGTAAGAAATGCTCATATGCATATTAGGTGACGGTCCCTTCAGTTATCACATAAGGGTTTGAAACTGCAAATAGCGTGTAAAGTAAGTAAATATGGATAAATCACGCCGTTTAAAAGCATAAAACACTCTTAACTTGCACAACACCGCTGTAACGGCACTTCATTCAGCAATAAACTGCTTTAGTAGTCTGCGCACGTTTACTGTTAGCTGACTTTTATTAAGGCTTCAGTAAAGCAGCCGAGACTCGAAGAATGTGGGATGCGATAAAGAGGTAAACATGTGAGGTACATATATGACAACGAAATCAGAAAGTCACGAGTCGACTATTAAAAAATATAAAGTAATATGGCTCAAGTTACCTTGCACGAATGTGTCGGTCGGTGCGAAGCGAATGTACGTACTCAGCTGTTGTTGCTCTTGTGTAAATACAGCAACTCCGGAGGAAAAGTGGGCTGTGCTGCCTTCAACAGCTCCTCAAAAGCTCTGATTTACCACTCGCTGATGTTCCGTTCAGGACAGTCATTACAAGACGTTGCTGACAGTAGGGCGGTTTGATTTAAGAAATTTTGAAATTGACTCCGACTCCAAGTAACGGGAATTGATGGAGTCGATTCCAATAGTCAACTGTACATTCCTTTTAGGATCGATTCCTCATTTCCAGCCATCCGGGAATCGAGGAATCGATTTTTTTTGGGATTGACTCCCAACCAAACCTCAACACTTCTGAGTTCTTAGATTGATTCTGGTCTGTACATTTGTTTGCCATTCGCACGTCATGATAGCATTTAGCTCTTAGCATTTAGCTCTTTTACTCTTTCTGTTGACAGGAAGTTTTGTATGATTATGGGTAAATGTGATGTCCAGTGATGAAATTGATATGTTATTCTAAAAATGTTCTTTAAATTCTTTCAACCATTTTAAAAAGATATGTTAGAATAGAACACTAGCTTTTTGTCTGCCTCATTTTTCATTTAGCGGGGAAATGTGGAAACATTTTAAGTTCATTTTGGTGAATCTTCTTTTTCTTTTATTTCATGAATAACACTACACAGTCAAAGCGTAGTTTAATTAACCATCAAAAAGATTATGTAACCTTTTTATTGTCTAGCTTTACATGATCATAGTAAAATAATAACATAAAAGTTGTTATAAGGACAACCTAGTAATTATGTGCGAAAATAAAAAAAAAAACAATTATGTTATGGGTTGATAATATGTACGGTCAACTATATTACTTGTCCACTAGGCTGCTGTGACCGTCAGCTAAATGTTAAACTCATCCAGCCCTAAATACATTTTGTCTGTAACATAATTGGCAAACTCATTTTTCTTTCCTTGAAAGTATTTTTTAAAAGTATTATAGTACAAGCATGGCCATTAATGAACATACCCATATCCAAAGGAAGTATATTTCCATTTTCAAAATATGTTTGACATATATGCAAATATTAAAAAACTGATGCCATTACATATTTTCATCTACATATGTGCATATGCTTCAACATATTGTATATATTCAACATATATGCATATATGTATATGTTGGAATATTTATTTGAATATTCAAAAGTGCACACTTAATATATTCTACAACATCACATAAATTGCATAAAACATAGTATTTAGAAAACTAATTGATTTATTTAAAAAAACATCTTTTTTGTACTTTTAAATGTCAATTCTATATTTAAGCAATGTAACACAAGAGGGAGTGTGTTATCACGAAATAACATCACGGCTGTGCTTTGGTTGCTGTAGATCATCACAGCTGTGATGTTATTCGTGATAACACACGACCTCGAGTGTTCTATTGCTTTTATACAACAGTTAAATAAATAAAGTAAGAAATAAATAAATTGGATCGTGAACGTGGCATTTAATATGTTTTAATGTTAGCAATTCCTCCCGCAAAATTATATTTCTGTAACAGGCAGCTTGTTGCTTCGTCAGAGTAACGAGCTCCGCTCACTCGCTGCACAGTCTGCTGTAAGCCTCACCTTTTGAAGTACAGACTGAGCTATAAAACTGCCACAATATCAAGTTTAGCTCAGTGTTGTCTTTTTTTTGCTAGATAAACATTAATGTTGTTTTGTTCCAGCCAGTCTGTAAAGCATCTTACAGCCCATTTTGTTTGGCGAATAGTATTTGGTTCATTTCTGGCTGATTCCAGGTTGTTTAGGTGTTCTTCTGTCACAGCTGCTCTGAAAAGCTTGCTCAGTGGTAATGACAGTTTCGGAATTCAGTGTAGCCTCATCTTCAGAGTCTGACCAAATCGGCTGTAGGTCAAATGTAATCTTAAAAGTATCCATTTTCTGTTTGTGAGCAAATTAAGAAGTAAAAATCATTCAAATGGCATGAGCCTCTCCTACAGCTGTCAAAGTTGTTGCTTAATAACGGCGTCTCAGAGGAGTGATACAGTGTTTGTGAAAAAAACGTGATGTTATGGTGAAATAACAGCATGGTTAGAACACTTCTCAACCAATCAGCTTGCGTGGCTGGAACTAACTGTTGTAGAATTGTAAGCCATAATAATAAAGATTATTTAACAATCAATACATGGCATCTTTATTCAACAAATGTTTAAACCACCACAATTATTGATGGACAAAGTGTGTGAGTGATCTCTTATATTTCAATCAAACACTTTCTGTAGCTGCTGATTAGCTGTGATCAGCTTGCAGGTTGGGGTGTAGCAGAAGTATTCAGTCCATAATACATTGTGATTAGGCAGTATTCAGAAATACAGTTACTTTTACATTTTTTAGAGGAACACATGTAGAATACTTGACAGCTAAATAAAAACAAAGATGAAAAAACTATAACTGCTTGTTTTTTTAAAGCTACACTATGTAAGATTTGGGGATTTGGAGACCTCTCTGGTGGAAATATAAAATGGCACACAATGTGAAAAGGAACATTTTGTAACCAGTTGTGCTTCCTCAAGCACAACTGGTTACTCAAGTGGATGAATCTGATGTTTATGAGCATGTTCCAAGATAATTTAGCCTGTTTTTTTTTCTCCTGACTCAGTAATGCTACTTCTTTCAACTTTAAACCAAACTTAGGACAGCTTTAAATATTTTAAAATCAGTGAATGATGTAGTAAACATGCATGTTGCACAAACTCTTAAAAAGACCTCAACAAACAGCTTCTATAGCTACTCTAAAGTTCTAGGTAGACTGATAAATCAATGTGATGAGTTGTTTTCCTCGGCGTTACTAAGCTCCGCTAAACCCTGAGTCAAAACTTCCTTTCGTCATTCTGCATCTCATTTAGACAATTAAACAATATATTAGTTGTTCCCTCACCAGCTGGCACTCTGTTTATCACACAATCCCACCACATATTTTTTTTCTTGGGCTCCCAGTTATGGATGGCTGTGGCATCACTGGGGTTCAAGCTCACAACCTCCTGTTGGGGTAAATGCTTAGGTTGTTGTGCTAATTGTGAGCTCCTGAAGTTACTTAGATGTATGTGCTTATAAGTTAATATGCTATAAAAAGTATGCTGTACTTTAAAAAGTAATGAGGTGCACCTGTCTAAGAATTCATCCCAAAATTACGAGGTTGTGAGTTTGAACCTTTGTGATACCACAGCTGTCCATATCTGGAAGCCCATGATATTGTGATAATCATCACAATAATCATGGAAGAATCCTTTGATCATGGGTTAAAATTGGTGTTTTGAATGTCTAATGTGACATGCTCCACAGGGACTGATTTACTGCCTACTTGACCAAAGAAACAAAGAAATAAAGTTCTGGAAGTGTCCGAAATTTTGGTTCAAAATCTCACAGTGTGACCGCAGCTATGACACACGGCTAAAAACAACCAATAAAGAGTATCCTGGAACATTAGGCGTGTGTGCACAAGAATGAAAGAGACATAATATATAAGGATAAAAACTTTATCGCTCACATATTTAAGAATATTAGCTTGTGCTGTTATGTTATCTGGCATATATAGAGTGGCCTACAGAGAAACAACAGCGCTAGCTACTGTATAGTGGACAGAAAAATTAGCCTACTGACCTCCTACTGAACATTCCAAGTTGAGGTAACCCAAGAAAAGCAGTGAAGCCTATTACTTTATCATTTAAGGTTGAGCTGACTTCTCATTATTTTTAACAGTGCAGTAGGCCAGCAGCTGCACCAACTGCAGAGACACAGTACCTGACGATCTTGATGCATCCCTAGTGCTGAGTCATCAGGTGGTATGTTATGGTTTGGATAGCCTACCATGTGGTAATTGTGTAGGAACTTGCAGTGATTTACAGAGCCATGCAACCCAGCACAGAAACCAGAACCAGAAATTCGCCATACTGCTATGGCTTGATAGACTTCACAGAGTCCCAACACAGAATGCAGATGTATCAACCACATCCTTGTTAGGCTTGTATATCTGAGGCATGGAGAGGTCTTTTTCCAGGAGGCTAGAAACGCAGCTCCAGTGGCGCAATCAGTTAGTGTACAGTACTTATATGACAGTACATTGCCAAGCAATGCCAAGGTTGTGAGTTCAAGCCTCACCTGGAGCAGCTTTTACCTTGGATCCAACACACTAGAATGAAACTGGCTGTTGAGTAGCAGCTCAAAGCACTCGACCATTTCAGTAGGGATAATGGACTTGTCAGTGTTACAGAACCATATAAGCTGCAGCTCTGCTTACATTGTGTAGATCACATCAGATCTTCTCAACTATAGCTCCACAGTTCAACAGCTGCCTGTTATCACCAGAACTATGAGGAAAAGGAGGCTTTACAGCAGTGGTCTTCCATTCTGGAGCTTGTTTAGTTTCCAGTTTTGGATTCTGTAGTCACAGAGGTTCTACTGATTGGAGTGTTTCTACTGAGTGGAGGCCTAGTCTTGTACCTAACGACAACAAAATCCAGAACAGGAATCAAGGCCCAGATTTGGAGACCTCTGCTCTATGTCTTGGAGGAAACAGACTGTGACTTTATTTATGCATCATGACATTAACTTTTGTGTAGATAATAGAACCCCCACAAAGATAGTTCACTGTTTCACCAGTAACAAACCCTGGATCATCTGCAGGACCTGCTGCTAAAAAAAGGAGGACGATGAAGAAGAGGTCAAATGGTTGTAGTCTGAGGGATAGACAGATACAGGGATAAGCTGGAGTGCATGTTGTTACCTGTGAGGTATTAAATATTAAATTAAATGTTGTGGCATTGCCATAGAAGAAGAAACATAGCGCTTCGAAAGAGTGTTCTTTTATTTAACAGACGCTGAATGAGTGAGATAGCAGGAAAGTCTTCAACAGCCATACATCTCACTCTGCATTCTCCTCCTCGGGGTGCCGGAGCAGAGACAGACTGAATGCTGCGTCCTCCAACCCAGCATGGCGGAGCTCCTCACAGCTCGCGGCTGGGAAACAGGCAGGTCACCAAACAACCACAGAGCTCTAGCCCATGGTATACACAGACCCACCTAATTTCCCCACAGCCCAGTACAATATTGCTGCACCTCTTTGACTTAACACCAGGAACTTATTTAGAAGAATAAAGGCTCTCACAGCCACGACGGTACCTACTTGTACCTACATACGGTTGCCACACCTCCTGCGTGTCCACAGCTGGATGAGCTGGTAGCGGGATGCTACAGTTTTAATCAAGAAACTTAAGAACGAAAAAGTGTTTTGATGAAAAACTACTTGAGCAATTACTTTTGGTTACTGTTTGTATATCCACAGTCACAGAGTTGACTCATCATTATTACTTGATTAAAATTCATTACTTTAGTAAAACATTCAATTATATATGCTCAGTAAATCAGCTGGACATTTTAATTATTCAAATTACAGACTGAAGATTCTCCACAAATATTATTAGCACTCAAATCACTTTTGTGTGTCTCATTGAAAGAGAGG